TGGGTGTGTGTGTGTGTGTGTGTGTGTGTGTGTGTGTGTGTGTGTGTGTGTGTGTGTGTGTGTGTGTGTGTGTGCGTGCGTGTCTGGGTTGTGCTGTGAGAAAGTGTGCACTGCGTCTGAGGCACATGTGTGTGCTTTCATGCAGGCTGATGTGGTTGAAGTGACTTCAGAGTGTGTGTGTGTGTTGTGTGTGTGTGTGTGTGTGTGTGTGTAGAAATTATGGACATATTTAAAGAAGCTTCCCGGTGGAAAAAAAAAATCACTTTATATATTTTCATACACAGACAAATATCAAAGGAGCATCATCCACTTCAGATTAACACATTAGTTTCATTGGAAAATATTCTTAATTACAGTTAAATACTGAATATGTTTTAACCACCTAAGAGGTTGAAGCTAGTATTGTTTTAATATTTTTTTTCTGGTTTGCCGATATTGAAACATATCCCAGTAGGACACTCAAGTATAGAACGGTGAGTAAGAACCTCTAGTGCTGTATTTTCCGCAAACATTAGCCCGGGGCCATTTTATTTCAAGTGAAACTGGAGTTTGATACAAAATTAAAAAGGAGTAATATGGATAAATGGGGAGAAATCGTTGACGTGCCTTGGTAGGTGTTTTAGTTAGGAAGACCACATTGTGAAAGAGCAACATGTCAGTGTCAACTGGCATGCTAGGGCGACATAATGCAGGATCATCTTTATACTGTGCAGAGGACGTGTATAGAGATAGCATGTAAATCTGTAAATCAAGCCTGGCTGCTTGGAAAGTATTCATGAATATGACAAGAGAATTACAACTGGCACTGGATTTGTCTGCACCGCTCGTGTGTCTGTTCCCGCAATACGTTTAAAATAGGCGAGTATGTGAGTGAGGGGCCGAGAGCGGTGCATAATTAACGGTGAAAACAAGTCAGGAGCACTTGAAATGACCACTTATTCCCACTCACTCTTTGTCGCCTGGGACCAGACGCGACAGCTCATCATGGACGGGAGTCTACTGCTGCCATGTTGCTGGTGAGAACCGACTTGTAGTCCTCCATCCATCCCAGCTGCAGCTTCTCTCTCTTTTTTTGTCTGTGACGCACAGAGGAGAGGGTCAGAGTTCAAATAAGTTCACAGGATGGAGGGTCTTTCAAATGTTAATGCCACAAGGGGAGCACCAGATGAACACGGCAGCGATGAGGACGTGATCGCCAGTGTTTGTTGAAATGCGACTCTCTCACGTTTGATGGACGCGTCGGTTTAGCAGGTGGACATCAATGACTTCAGATCATTAGGTCAAAAGTCACGTGTAAATAGGAATAAAAGGAAGCATTTGCGGTTACTTATGGACATTTTATATGTCTCACATAGCCAAACAACACTGATGGAACCATAAAAGTGGAGCATGTTTGACTTGCAGTTGTTCCACATTCAAAACGGTTGTAACTACAGACCCAAAACTGCTGACATCATAAAATTAACTGCACAGGCAATGTTTTAAGTAACATGTCAACAAATACATTTTAACTACACTATTTGCACCTTTGGAGATGACAGTAAAAGCAGTCATACCGGTCCATTTGATTTTGTTCCAGGAATAAAGTGTTTTACATGTGTACATGTTGCAGCAAGCTACATTTCTGGGTTCACGCTCATCATCAATTTTCCCTCTCTACCATCACTGATGTGATTCTGTGATGGTTTAAAAGACGCACGCGCGCACACACGCAAGCTAATCGCTGTTAGAGATAGATACTTGACATTTATTGTATTCATTTAACTTGTATTTATCCAGGTATGATAATTGAGAATACATTTTCAATTAAAACGCATACCGCCGCAGAATTTACGCAGCAGTATGATAATTTAGTAGGCAGAGCAACCAACTTCAGCATCGCCCGGCTAGCTCAGTCGGTAGAGCATGAGACTCTTAATCTCAGGGTCGTGGGTTCGAGCCCCACGTTGGGCGGCACACCCTTTTCCGCTCAATTCAAAGTCCCAAATTACGTTGCAAAATAATTGTCACAAACTGAACCTTTCGTTTTTAATTTACACGCAACATAAAGAAAAGGCTTCATGTAGCATCTTTGTGACAAGTGCCCGGCTAGCTCAGTCGGTAGAGCATGAGACTCTTAATCTCAGGGTCGTGGGTTCGAGCCCCACGTTGGGCGCAGCTATGTTTTATGTTTACTTCACATGAAGTAAGGTAAAGTGGATTGCAGTTCGGAATTTAGACATTTTACTTTCAAACCATATTGTCCAGCCTAACCGATCATGACACTCATGATGACTGCAGTTGTGTCGCATTGCCTCTTTCATTTGGACAGCAGCCCGTTGAATAAGAAACGTTCAACATAAAGTAACGAGTCAAATGTAAAAACTGAATGTTTAAATCATGTTAGCATGTACCATGACTTTATGTCGATCATGGCCGAGGAGCTCGTGACGTGTATCGACGACCATTTTTGTTTCCCTCGGAACTTGAAGCAATGCTGCCATCTTGTGTTGAAAAGGCAAGACGGCGAGTCTCCTGTCAAAAAAAATCTTAGTTATACACTCACACACATACGTCTAAACGTGTATCTCATTGGTAGTGAATTTATTTATATTTGACTGAAATTAAAAAGGCGCCTTCTTAAAATTAAAACGACAACATACAAGAAAAACAATCGCCCAAAGTGGACACTTTGGCTTGAATCCGAACACACGTTCACGTGAGAAACACAGGTATGAAAATAATTAGTTTATCAATAAACACATTTGAAAAAAGAAACCATAACATCAAACTCTTACCTTCTCAAACAACACTTGTATGTATGTTATGGCCACTTATGGCGCATTCATTTTCATAATTAACAAGACTTCCTGGTGTGTGACCAAGTCGGGGCGCAGCGTTTTTAGTGGTTGAGCGTTTTCGTGTTGCTATACGAAAGTAGGCAGCCCGGTGAGCAGCGGTTAGCACGTCGACCTCACAATGCAGAGGTAATTGAATTGGTGATTGAACACTCCAAATTGTCCCAAGGTGTGCGTATGTGTGTGCCCTGCGATTGGTTGGCATTGGCAACCGGTTCAGGGTGTGCCCCGCCTACTGCCCGAAGACAGCTGGGATAGGCTCCAGCACTCCTCCGCGAATCCTTCTGAGGATAAAGTGGATCGGAAAATGAATATTACGTCATTAATGAGGCCATATTGTCCTCTTATATGTTTAATAATTTTGTTTTTTCTTCCTTTCAGACACTTTCAGGGTCTTACAAAATAAAAAGTTTCATCTCTCTTTTTGTTAATGACAGTCAATATTAGTAACTGAATTATGTACAAATGCAAGAAAAAAAATGATGCGTCCCTTCGGTGATATCCATTGTTGCCCAATAAACAAAGACGACCATAGACCGCATTGGAAGAAGAGAACCATTTATTCTTTGCTCTGTTCTACAAAACTTTATTACAACATAAAGCTGACGAACAAAACTGTGTCTCCAAAAAATGTGCGCAGGATTGTTCTGAAAAAGCGGGTATGTTACTTTACACTTTTGATATGGACAGACAGAAAACATGAGCACGTTGGGTATGCAATACTGATGTATTAGCACCATTCTGCAATGTGTATAACAAAAGGAATCAAACAGTTTGACACGTGAGTAACATTAATCGGTAAAAGCACATTTTTCACCTTGTCAAGGGAGGACAGCAGAATGTGGTTTGTACGGTAAGCCGAGTGGTGCTTTTAAAACTTGATGTCCCAGTAAAGTGGCGTCTCTGTGGTGGTTTCAAAACCGTCGTGAAAGGCGGCCAAGTTGCCATCCGTCGATGACATAATTTCAGCGTCAAGGTTTAGACCTCCATGCTCTGAAAGGAGATGTTATGTTTCATTTTTTTTCATTATCTCAGCAATAGCTAACCATCAAATATTTCTCTTCGGTCTCACCTGGGATGCACTGAATTTGAGGCCTCTCCCAGCTGCCCCCAGACCGACAGCGGATCAGTGGATTGAGTCTCTGCTGGAACCCCTGAGAGCAGTGATAACGCACCACGCTGTCTGTCTCGTAGCGTTGCCGAGGCTTCCCGAAGATGGAGGCATTGCGGACCTTCGGCGGTGGGCCGCATGATGCTGTTGGAATGTGGTAAAAATCTAAACCGATGCACCTTACATGTAAATAGTGTTGACTTGAGTGTGCTAAATACGCACATGTGCCTTTCTTGCAGGTGTAGGCCAGGTGGTAGTTGCAGGGCACGTCGCTCCAGCGGCCGTCGTCATGCCACACCATCACCACGCAGTCCTCACCGGACAGGAAGTAGCTGTCAGGCTGCCCTCGGTACCAGTTCTCGTACAACTGTACAGACACAGCAGAAAATACATGTTTAAAATTCGATTTACATTGAGGTTGTAGATTGTTGAGTCTTCATCTATCATTTTTCTGCAGCATGATAGATATTAGACTCCTGGGTGAACTGAAACCGATCCCAGCTGTCTTAGTGTTAAAGAAGTACAAATTCAACACTGAACATTGGATGAAAACAGTAACAGCAACGACTCACCAACGGATTGCCGTCAGACCACCTGAAATCCATCTCGATGGTCTTATCGTTCAAGCCCGTCCACTGATACTCTTTGTAGTTGCCTGGTGATGACAAAACAACATGAGAAGGATAATCACTTCTTAAGAACACCAAGTGTAAATACAATACATGGACAAATGGGTGGTGGTCATACTGTTAATGTAGGCCTGCTCCTCGGGGGTCATGATGGAGGCCAGATGGGCACCTTGCACGCGGCAGTGCTGCTCGGCCACCTCCCAGCTCAGACGCTGGCTGAAGTGTCGGTAGCAGAAGCCGTGGAACTTGTCCCAGCCTGGTTCGCAGCTCTCCAGATCTGGAAAAAAAAAAAACAAGAGTGTGGAGTGGGCATCGACTGAGAAATGCCTGATCAAGTAAGCCAAACTTGAGTGAGCTCACCCTGCTCACACAGATCTCCCCCATAGGTGGGTAAGCAAAGACACAGAATCTGGCCCTCTCGCTCCGTGCAAGTGCCACCATTGAGGCATGGTTCTTTAAAGCAAACATCTGGAACACAGAGTGTCGATTCACATCATACTGCATTAGAATACGCTTTACTTGCCATTTTGGAAAAACTCCAGAGACACATTTCGACACATTGATCTTGCCATGTTTTACCATACAGATATGAATATAATGTGTTTTTTTTTATTTTTATTGTTGACTCGTAACCAAAGAAGGACACAAAATCATGTCGCTGCTTGGCAAAAACAAAACAAACAAACAAACAAAAAAAAACCATTCATTTGGTTTGTGCGTACACCAATAAAGTCCAGCATTGAAATATTCCTCATGGAAAATCGTTAGACAAGAAAGTCTATTCCGAAATCATTCCCTCTTTCATTTTCTATACAATCAGAATATTGCTTTATGTGCATCAACCACCACATTTACAACAACATTGTACTTCTAAACATGGTAAAAGAGAGTTAATTCAAGAGGACATTTTATGTCGAAGTCGAGTGCCGGCTCGCCCAGTATGAAATTCAACAACCAAATACATACTTTGGTGAATTGCGTGTTTCTGAAAACCCGCGTGTGGACGCAGGGTTCTGGATTTTGCCAGATTATGATGGCAATTCAACCAATTGACATCATTATGCCCTCACGCGGGGTTTCTCCGCCCATGCTGGTGAGAGAGACGAGGTCAATCACGTTCGCCACAATTTCAAGTCTTCAGATAACATTTAACAGAGAGGCGGGGTACACTCCGGACTGTTCACATTCCAACCTACGGGCAATTTAGAGTATTCGGTCAACTTGAAAGGCGTCTTTTGGGAAAGTGGGAGAAAGCCATCACAAGCACAGGGAGAAAATACAAACTCAGACTCAAAACCGGAACCTCAGAACTGTTTAAGCAGACAAGCTAATCACTAGCCACCATGGTACCAGGGAACCGTTTTCAAATTGTGAAGAAAAAAAAAAAAACGACATCGTACGTCTACTTTAGAAAGTGAGTTGACAATCAAAAACAACGACAAAACAGATGTCACATTTAACATATTGTCCAGGATCCCCTGTTGAGCTACTTGCAGACTGTGATCAGACATTTAAACATGAGCTGACAGACATATCACCGTTATTATATGACGATACTTCACAGAAGTCAAAGAGCAGGGAAGAAAACATCACATGGAACAAGACTGGACAGTTAGCCAAGCGTCAGATGGAGGTGTTTCCCAGTTGAGTGGAAAGGGGGGAAAAACGTTTTTGTTTTTTTTTGAGGGAGCATGAAAAACAATGCAACAAAGACATAGAAGGACAAGGCAGGTCGGAGGCAGGCTTGGAGGTTTTAGTGCGTTGTCAGGAAGATGAGGACGGTTAGGCCGAGGAAAGTGACGTTAGTGTTACCTGCGACTTTGACTTTACCGGCGGCCGCTGCCGCCGCCGCCGCCTTCTCGTTGGGCAAAACGTGGTCGGTGGGAACCTGGGTGGGGTTGTCGTCCCGTTCAAGGGTCGTCGACGTCCGGGTCTCAGATGTCCCTCGGAAGACGTCGGGAGAGGCAGCGGTCGGCGGACTCCAGGTGCGCTTTGACCGCCATGTGGTTGCCCGAACCGTGGAAGAGACGGACGAGGATTTGGTGCTGATCTCCAAATCCTTCAGAGACTCTTGCGGTCCGGTGGTGGTAGTCAGCAGAGCCCAGTGGGACGCCTCGGAATTGTACGGTAATACGGTGATCTCCTCATCAAATGCCAGGCCGGTGGAAGTGCTGTCGTCAAGCGCTGTCGTAGTTTCTTGAGCTTCCGCCTCAAAGAGTGTGTTTACTTCCTCTTGAAAGGGTAGAGTAACATTTTCTGCAAAGATCGAGGTGATTTTAGCTTCTTTTTCAAATATTCCTGCTGCCTGTTCGTGCTCGGCCGGTGTTGTTGAATCTCTGTCGAAGCTTCGGGCGATGGTAGAAGTCTCGTCAAATCTTTGAGCTACTTTTTCAACGTTTGGCATAGATTTGGCCTCTTCTTCAAATATTGGAATGAGAGCAGTTGATTCTTCAGGGCTCAATGTAGCTTTAGCGTCAATTTCAAACATCTGTGTGACTGTAGGTCCTTCTTTTGGGGTTGGCGTGGCTTCTTTGTTCAATTTTTGACTTCCCTTATCAAGGTTTGTCATAGCTTCAGCCTCTTCTTCAAATGTTGGCGGAACAGTCGTTGATTCTTCGGGGTTGAGCGTAGCCTCGAATTCAAACATCTGCATTAATGTTGGTCCTTCTTTTTGGGTTACTGCACCTTTGGCGTCGTCTTTAAAGATTGGTATAACTTCCGTTTGGTCTTTTGGGCTTAGCGTGACTTGAGGCTCTTCTAATATTGGCTTTAGTGCAGATCCTTCTGAGTTTTGTGGCGCTTTATCCTCTTCGAACATCTGTGTCACAGTAGAGCCTTCTTTTGGGATTACAATAGCTTTGGAGTCTTCTTTAAATACTTCTATCTCTTTATTTTCATGTTTTGGGGTTAGCGTCGCTTCAGCTTCAGATAACATTGTAACTGTAGATAATCCTTTTTGGGTAACAGTATCTTTGGCCTCCTCTTGAATTGTTGTTGTAACTTTAGTTTCCTGAGGTGGTACTGATGCCGTAGCCTCCTCTTCAAATATCGCTATGTCTGGTTTGAGCGTAGCTTTAATCTCTTCCTCGATTGTGAATGGGATGGGAGGTCGCGCTATTGGGTTAAGCTTCGTTACCGCCTCCTGCTCAAATGTTGTTGTTGTGACTTGGGCTCCGTCTTTGGGATTTGGGGTAACTTTAACTGTTTCTTCGAGAATTGTAACTTCATGTGTTTCCCCGCCAACATTACCGCTGGGTGACAAATTCCGTGCAAAACCTTTGGAAACAATAACTTGATCTTCAGTGGTATCTTCATCAGTCTTCGGTTCGGTAGTTGGGTTAAAAGCGATGTGCCCTTTCGTCAGTTCAGGAACTACATCGGGTTCGAGTCCACTTGTCTCCTCATAGCTCACGGTGGCGCTGTCAAAGAGTACTGCATTACCTGATGGTTGATACAGTGCTGTCATTGAATCTGTCGGCACCTCGGAGGACATCTCGGGAGCTTCGGTGGTGGGCGAACTGACACTAAAACGGGTAGACGTTGTTGGAAGCAGCTGTTTTTCATCACTTTCCATGCTGTCGCCAATTTCCAAACTGGTGCTTCCCTCCTGCATGGAAACAGATTCCTTCAAGTGTGATGGTGTCGAGAGATAGTCGGAGCCAAGACCGGGAGGGTGCTTTGATCCGGGCAGGGTGGTCGGATCTTGGGTGGTTGGCAAAGACTCAGGAGGAGCGTGGCTGGTTGAGGCAGAAGGTGTCTGGTGGGTGCTGGACCCTGACTTGGGGATGAACTTGAAAACGGCGACTTCCTGACGACTTTCTGGAAAAAGAGACACTCAAGGTGATGCTAACACACCAGCGGTAACGCATTGGTTATACCCTGACGCTATTGAATTCTTACCTTGAGAAGTATCGCCTGACCCGCTCACGGGGATCAACAATGAGGAGAGATCCGCAGGGGTTTCGGTTGTTGTTGCAGGCTCTTCTTTCTCCTTGGGGTCCAGAGTTACGGGAGGAGTTTCTAGAATCTCCTCTTTAGCCTCATATTCATAACTCTCGGTGTGCATACTGTTCAAATCCAAATCCTGCAGCAATTTCACTTTCTCAAATGACTGCGTGCTCTCTTTGGAGATGCTGTCTGTCAAGTTCGGGGTCTGGGTGGCGTTAACATCTTGGAGACTCGTTGTGCTTTCTAATTCGGATAGCTGGTCAGTAAAGTTCTGATATGGATCTTGGCTGTTGTCAAATGTGGACTGGAATGAAACGTTTTGAGGAGAATAGTACATTTGGGTGCTTTGAATAGTGTTATTTAGTGCTATCGTATGTCCAGAGGCATCTTTGTCTTCTGGAGAAGAGGACGTTCTGTCAAAAGGTCTCAGGTTCTCTGAAGCGTCCGTGGTGGTCAAAGGAGGCTCTGTTGTATTGGACAGAAACCTCGGCTGCTCTTCAACCGCGCTTCCATTCGTGGGAGGGCCCGAGAAAAGGGGGATGGTTTCGAGAAAACTCTGAACCTCCCGCTCAATTTGTTCTGAACTTTGCCCGAGTGGAAATTCTTTGTCTTCGTCCATTAAGATGACAACTTCTTGTTCAACGGTGCTCGGCTCGGGAGTGCTTGTGATGTCCATGGCGGAGTCAGTCGGTGTTGTTCCACTGCCTGCAGATGTGACACATAAGGGAATAAAATCGGAATCAACACATACACGTATGTTTACCAAATGATTGAATGCTTTCATCAGACACTCAAACACAATCCATTCCGGAACAATGTTCAAACTTTCATGATTCCAGTTTGTTTGACTTGGTTTCCAAATGTCAGTTTTTGTAAAATCAGATGTTTTGGGTTCTCCCACCGCAAAAAATATTCAAAAGTTTTGGGGGTGGTCATAGTTGCCACAATGCAGGTTTTAGTCCCGTCTTTTGGTCCACACGCACCTCGGAAACAATAAACGTCGTACAAGCTGGACGGCTCTGGGAAGACCGTTTGGTTGATGAAGCGATACACAGTCTTGACACCGGCCTGGCGGCCTCCGCAACGCTCTCTGGGGGTCCTGATGGGGTAGCGCACGCTGCCGTCAGAAAGCCAGCCGGGGCTGCAGTTGTCCAGACCTTCGCTCCAGGCCAGGTAAAGTTGCGCCGCCGAGGCCAGCTGAGCTCTCGCAGCCCTGCAGTGTGAGCGGGCCCCTTGGAAGGACAACTGCTGTGGGACGGGGTCGTGGAACACCTCCCCTATCAATTGAATGTTAGAAATGATCAAAAATGTGATCCTGGAAAGGAATAGGGGGGTGCAGGTCGTACCATGCATTTCCTCCACGTAGCAATAGACGTCAAACTGATCCTGTGGATTCATCATCCCGTAGTTTCTCACTCCTGGTTCCCCATCCATGTCTCCATAGCAAGGTTCACGAGGTGTTTGGATTGGGTACCTAGGAAAGTGGTGCAAAGGCGGAAACAATCGGCCAAGTAATTCTGGCTCAGTCTTTCTGAAATGAGGGTTCAAATATCGGCTTCAGCCTTTCATTGAAATAGTCTACCGTTGTAAATGCGAATGGTTGTTGGTCTGCGGGTGCGCTACACCTGTACACCTGTGGTCTACACCACACCGGCCTCAAGTCAGTTGGGATAGGCTCCACCTCTTACGCACAATCCGAACGAGGACAAGCGGAAAAGAAAACGGATGGGTGAATCAGCAGCCAAACATACCTGACAGTCTGGTCTTCTAGCCAGCCTGCGTCGCATTGCTCGTAGCCATCAAAGTAAGCCGCCCGAAGCTGGCTAAGAGTCGCCATTTGGGCCCCGACGGTCTCGCAAGCCCTCTTGGCCTGATGGAAGTTAAGTGCATATCGACCCATGGCATCCCGGTAGTGAAATACCACACCTAGACACAAAAGCGTGCAATGTCAACCAGTGACATTCAAGAAGTTGCCAAAAGTACTCAGTGTGTAGAAAAGACTCTGGTAAAACACAGTACTGGTATGTTTTTTTTTTTTCCAGCTCAGACAGAGAATTTTTGAAGGCCATGGACGGGAATTTCTTGCGTCGCTGAATCTGTTGTTGGTAATGCTCCCTCTTTCCTCTTCTATACTGATTCGGTCCCTGTTTTTTTTTTGTTCTGCCTTATGTTGACTTCACCGCTTTCTAAAAGTGACAAGCCTATTTTAAAAAGTAAGGAGTACATTCGAAACGTTCAAAAATAGGGGTTTCAAAGTACCAAGTTGACAAGCCTATTTTAAAAAGTAAGGAGTACATTCGAGACATCTGATTTCAAAAATAGGGGTTTCAAAGTACCAAGTCGTTGCAAAGACCATTTCCAACCACGTTTTTTTTCATTACCTTTGACCTTGAGTTGGACAATGTCGCTGGTATCCTCCAGGCCTTGCTGCACCTCGCAGCGATAGTGCCCCGAGTCACTGGAGCGCGTTTCCAACAGCCATAGTGACAAATCTTCGGGCGAGGAGCGGTAGTTGAGCAAATCGGCACGGCCTCTGTATGCCTCGTTGACTTTCACCCTGCCGCCCCGCGCCACCAAGATTTGCGTCTCGGTCCTGCCGGACATCAGTGTCCACTTGACCCGCGGCAGCATGAGAGGCGACGAGGACGCCGAGCAGGGGATGATGATGGCTTGGCCTAGCGGGGCGTAAAGGACACCCGAGTGGGAAATGTTCACCCGGAGAGGCGTCTGGGCATCGTCTGGAAAGCCAACAGGGAATGTGAGGATTCATTTTAAAAAATATATATAATGATGCTAATGGTCAAGAATGACTCACCTTGGGCCAACGGGAACCGAGTAGGAAAGGCCAGAGAGAAATGACAAAGTACACCGAGGAGTGCAACGATTCTGCGGAGACAACGACAACCATCACTCAGGGTAGGAAGAGTGCGTCAAGGTAATAAAGACGCATTATTTCTCCTTAGCGGTTTCAACTTTCCAATTTCACACAAGTCTAAACTTAAAGGGCTGTTGCTTCAGGTAGCCGACCTCAACACGGAGCCCCTTAATATCTGCAAAGTCTAAACTTAAAGGGCTGTTGCTTCAGGTAGCCCGCGCCGACCTCAACACGGAGGCCCTTAATATCTGCTACTAAGCTCAACCTCAAACCACAAGCAACGATGATATACATCCAGACAAAAACACCAAAATCAAGCAACCTTGTAACCTCGAACCAAAAAGATCAACACAGTAAAGAACAAGTCTGAAATTTGGGGGGTTGGTCTTGTAAACCATGTTCATGCTCTGCAGGTATACAATCAAAGAAAGTATACCAAAAAAGATCAAGGTGTGCAAATGCTTGCCACTGGGTTGGTAACTTCTTCGGTTCAACTTTTTAGACCCTCGAGGACGTACCTAAAAGTTCTTTTGTGGACCTGGAAAAACAGATGCTCGCTCATTTTGCATCCTGACAACCAAATTTGGCCCATGGGTCAGTCCCAAAAGATCAAGCACAGAACGGCAAGAGAGAAAAAGCTGGTTCGAGCCAATTTCTCCTCTGGGAACTGAGAACGATGGATAGCTGAGAACATCCTTCCATGGGAAATGACTGGATTGGCCATTGGAAATTGGACCATCGCTGAAAACCAAAGACTGAAATAAACATTATGCTTGGAAGTCGTGTATCAAGAAAACTGCTGAAGTGATGATTTAGTGCATGGCCACTGTACGCGGCTGATTTCTGCCCGGTAGAAAGCATTCCCAGCAAATCTAAAAGGAAGTCTTTACGCTTGCAATCATCCGAGAGACTTCTTACGTGCCTTCGGAAGGTGCTGCTTTTTTGTTTGGCAACTGCTATTTGAGGGACAAAAAAAAAAGCTTTGCGGCTCAAAAGGCCTGCATATTCAAAGCGTGTCTTGACCAGCTTGGACTGCGGCGTCAGGAAAGAAAAAAAAAAAGTTTGGTTTCCAAGCGCAGGCTCCTCCTGACCACAAGCCACGCAGCATCCCCGTCCAGCGGCACAGCTCTGTCACCAGTCTGGCCCTGTTATTAACCCTCCCGGCAGCTGGGGGGGCGGGTTGGGGAAGTGGGGGTGCCGTATGCTTGCGGTGCCCTCTGTTCATTTATCACGGAAGAAGAGCTGCTCACGCACGTGCACACCAGACTAATTACACTTGACGATCCCAGGTCTATTCTCTGTTGCAATAATAGACGGCCATCTTCCACGCACTGTAATGTACTGGATATCATCGAGAACAGCGCGACCCTTTTGGAGGAATCCTGGGAATGAGCCTGGGATTCCTTCAATGTAGGACGCATGGAGGGACCGATAGAATGATTGGGCGATGATCTACCATTGATGATCCAGGTAGATCGTCGATGGGCGGGTAGATGAATGGATGCATTGACGCTTAGACAATCAACTGAAGAGTTAAGTTTCCACAACTTTATCGACTGATTTGATTACAAGTGCCCAATAATTGATTGACCATTTGAATTTTTTTCACTGGTCCGTTTATCACTCAAATTGCATTGCATTATAATAAATGCAAATTTCGTCTTTACAGTTGATATAAAGTCGACACGCCCCTGTTCGAATGCCTCGTTTAGAAAATATAGCTTGATCAATTCGGCGTTTGGTTGATTGACCCATTGGTAAAACAGTGGCGAAAGTGACCATTGGTTGGTGGTAACAGGAGTCAAGAGATGTGAGCGACATCCCAATCAGATCAGTGGACAACAAGCAGTGATGAAGTTGACTTTTCAACCGCTTTGGCCCTCAAAGGCGCTCATTGAGGGCCAAATAGTTGTTCTAGTGTGCGTTCCCCGGCCAGCTGGGTGGGCCGTGAGCGCCCTTCACTATTAGTATGCTCTGCAAGAAAAGGGAGAATGAAAGCGACGGCAGCTGCATACCACTGTGCTGTACAAAAAAAAAAAAAGAAGCCAAAGCTGAAAACGCCTCCGGGTGGAAATGAAAGGATGGTCACTGGCACACTTGCTTGCTCCCCCCCCCACCCCCCTCCATTCTTTTTCTTCTTTTAAAATTACAGACAGTACCTTCCATTGCTTACGGGATCAGATTGCGGTGCCGTCTTTGCATCACTTTCACTTCGGGGCCCACACAGCCTGTCGCCAAATCAGAATGGTGCGCCACGGAGGGCCTTTTCAAAGCCACATGATGAATAAACGAATCACAATGATGAAACATGGAGGCATTTTGCACAAGGCACTCGTTCTAAAGGGGGAGCGGCAACTTTGCGAGAAAAAGGCTGATAAGAAATGGCAATACCACACACACACACACACACACACACACACACACACACACACACACACACACACACGTCATGTTGAAGTAAATTGAGACAAACATGAACTATGCTGCGTTCACTTTCACTTGACCACAGGCCAGCGGACCATCAACTGTCCTCCCTTTTCGCTACCTTGCTACCTGCACATTAGGCTGCCTAGAAGCGGGGAAAGGGCCCTGTAAATCATGAGAGGTGCACTCAAGACTAAAAAGAGGAAGATTGCGTGATTTCTTGCCGTCCTGCAGGGCAACATTGCACTTGGGTCCAGGACACGCTTTTAAAACGGGCTCACCCAAACTTTTCAGTTCAAACACAAACAATGACACACACAAAAAAAAAAAAAAACGTAAATTAACAGATTATCCTGTTTGTTTCTGTTCCTTTACGACTGACCACATCTGATGGAAAAAAAGGGGGGGGGAGAAGGAACGGAGGGAGGAAGAGAAGTAAGAAGGAAAGAAGTTCAGAACCAAGGATGGAAGACTGAATGAATGAAAGAAGGAGAGAAGGTGGACTAGAACGAAGGAAAGAAAGAGGAAGGAATGAAGGAAGCAAGGAAACAAGGATGTATGGAGGAAGGAAGGGAGGATGTGACAAAGATGTATGAAAGAATGAAGGAGGGAAGGACAGAAGAAAGGAAGGGTCTCTACAAAAACCACATTAGGCCTTGAGACTAACACTGGTATTGAAACTTTCTCCCTTTTAAAGTCTTCCTTTTTAAGATGCAAGTGAACTTTATTGGATGATTTTTTTTTTTTTTGGGTGCCGATTCCGATCCTCGGTTTTTCCACAGCGCATCAGGTTTCGTCACAAATAGATTTACGGACACAAAACCATCTTTGATTAAAATGCGTTGTTGACCAGTGCAGTCATCAATTTCCCCCCAGTTTGAATTTGAAATTTTTAAACAATTTGACCTGCAACATAGCTGGATGGTCCAAATGAATTTGAGGCTATCACCGGTGGCACATTTTGTCACCCAAGCCACACTTTGGAAAGCTCTACTTTTTTTTCCTCCATCCAAATGAATGGAAAGTAAGGCACTACAAACCACAAAAACTTCCCCTCACATTTGGAACACAATGAAAAGTAAAGAGCTGCCTGAACATATTTAAAAATAGAACCACGAGCGAGCAAAATTATGTGCAAACGACATTTTGTCCACTTGACCTTTCAAAGCTTGCACAATCAACAACAGCCAGAAGAGCCTACCGGAGGGGTTGAAGCTGCATCGCGTCACCGGCGTGAGGTCCCCGCGTCTCTTTGCTGCAGTGCGCTTTGAAGAGTGAAAGAAAAAAAAAAGTGCGTGTAGAGGGGTGGGGGGATTTGGTTGCACCGTGCTGCAGGTCCTGAAAAGGGAGCTGCGACCCACTCGACGCGCCCCGGGAGAGAAAGAGAGAGAAGCAGTTGAAAGTCAACAAACTACCCACTTCTTCTTGCGCATGCTTGTCAAGCAGGAAGGAGGGGGGGGGGTGAAGAGCATCATGCTGATGTCTTTTGAGTGGCCTTTTATTTGAGGTTTTCACCTCGAAGGGAGGACAAACACTTAAAAGCAGTCATGCACAAAAGTGTGCACGTCGGAGTTTTTGGGAGCCCTTATTGTTTTCTTTTTTTATTTTGAGTGGGTGTGAGGGTGTGGGGGGGGGCAGTATTCCCCTGGGGTAAAAATAATCCCAAAATGTCAAAAAGTTTCTGCGCAATCACAATTTTTGCTCGTGAGCAACTGTATTTGTTTGCCGTACCTCAACATGTCCAGCAGAGGGCACTTTGGTAAAAAAAAGTTGATGACGTGCACGTCATAATAATTCACTGGCAAAAGTGTGGGTGTTTAAAGCGCTCGCTGGGAAACACGCGCACCACATGAGTGTGCTAGCTTACACGTTTAAACCACATCTCCGCAATAAAGACGGCTCGGGCATGTCTGAGGGGTCTGCCGTTTTGGTTAGCAACAGAGTTCTTTTTTTGTATCTTTCGCAGCCTCCCCGTGGTGTACTGAATGGCGCTTTGTGGTGTGCACCTGAGGAATCTCACACCCGCACACCAGCACGGTGCGGTCTGAGAGGCCAACGCCAAGGCTGACCTGGCGGAAAAGAAGAAGAGCAGCCGTGTGTGTGAGCTCGTTTGCTGCCGGCTCCATTTTGGTCACCGGTCAAAGTGATTTGTGCTGCTTGTTAAACGGAGGCAACACTCTGCTCACTGGGCAAGGTCGTCTTAACAAGATACGTTTCGTACTAAAGGGTAAGACCGGTGACCATCTCTCCACGACCCATCATCCATCCTTGCCGTTACAAATTCATCTGTCCGTCATCCATCTATCCAAATATCAACCATTCATCGACCACCGATCCTTCCTACGATAAAGTCATCCATCACTCATTCATTGGAGGAAAAAAAAAAATGTCTGAAAAGTGCAAGTGAGGCTTTCCTTTCCTACTTGCGGGGGCATTTCAGTCAATTGACTTTAAAAATCACAATATACAGGAGGAACAGTGTTATCTTGCGTAGCAAACCGTGACGCCTTCACCTCATCATCGGCCCATCAACCACCAAAACAGGCAGCACAAGAACATACTGCCCGGCTTGGTTTTATCATCTCAACACCCTGCCAAGGTCACGCGCACGCAGGAATCCAACTAAATTAGAACAAACACAAGTGAGCTCTCCGAGTGGCATTCGGGCTAGCATGACATTTTCCAGCGCAGCCTTCAAACAACTCTGTGATTAAAACGCTGCCCAGTTTAGATCATTAGGTCAGCGACATGACTCAAACGCAGCAATTTAGTTCTCTCAAAGCATCTTCAGATGTTGAAAGTTGTTTTAACACACAAACATGCCAGGTTGGATATTTTAAACGCAAGATGCTGCAAATGCATGTCACTGGTGCATGTCCATGCACCTTTGTGCATTTCCAGACCGACACCGAGCCTTTTGAGTCATTTTCCCTTCAGCAAGAGGCAAAAACCCTCAAAAGCTACTTTCCGCTGACTGGACAGTTTTATTCCCTCTTGGAAAGGTGGGATAGAAAGGGGGTGGTCTGGGGGGAAAAAAAAATGCTGCCCTCATCGCCACGTTACTGCATTGATGGGCAATGGCGACGAATCCAGACTGTGACGCACTCAATGGCTTTGGCAGCTGGATGCAGAGTCCAAAAATAACTTCATAGTCCCCCAAAAGGCCTTATATTTCTTCGGAATTCATGGAAAGTGAAGGAACCGTTCCAGCCTCAAATTATCTGCATAGTGAAATCCGTATTAAGTGTAAGTCAATATTTTAATTGAGGCTGTCATACAAGTGGAAGGAGTTGAATACTGTATTGCAAACTACTGACCACTCTGAAGACTCCTGACATCACTCATGAACTCCCAGGACAATATTTTAAGTCGGCATTTGAACATTAAACATCATATGAGTAAAATAAAGTTTTTGAAAAATAAAACAAAACAAGTGCTGGATCATAAAACTAAAACAAAGTCAAATTACACACCCTTTTGACAGTCATACAGTTAAAAAAAGGGAAATTATTCGCAAGGTATTTATGAACCCAGGACTGTAAAAGTCCTGGAACATAAGTTCATCACTTCATGATAAAAGTAAGAAAGTCAAACACAAAATTGAGTCAGGGAAAGCTTTTTTTTCCCTCATCTGGGTTGTACATCAGTCACGACAGAGAACAGCAATTCAAAAGCCTTCAAAAATCTCTACGAATGAGTCCTGATGTTAAGGCTGCATCAGTCACTACAGTAAATTTTTGAGGGGGCGCATTAAGTGGATGCTGGAGGGGGTATGCGCTGTAAAAGAAAGTTTTATTGCAAGTGGGCCTTTTATGAAATAATAAGGAATGATTAGCATAATAACGGTGTAGTAATTGGCACTTGAAGGCCAGCAAGCTGCTTTAAAAAGCAGAATAATAATTTACAAGCCCAACGCAGTGTTGCTTTACCTCCCTCCTCGGCCCCCCATACATAATAAACCAATAAAGTGCAGCATTCACTGCAGGAATTCAGACTTGTGGCCATGTGAGAAACATCAAGTCCAATCCCTTCTGTCACTTTGTCTCACGGTGAAAATTCCTGACTCGTTACTTTTCGAAATTATATGGCTGCCTTTGGTTTTTAAAAGCGGCCTTAAGTTTTACCGCGCAGTAAACAAGAAAAGGAAATTCACCAAAAATAAAAGAGCAGCCACAAAGGATTGTATTTGTTTTGTCAAAAACACGTGAACATTCAAGTCAGACTGCTCGACTTGGACAGAGAAATGCATCGCGCATGAATTGCATCATTTATTCATGATATCACAACATCCAGTCCATTTGAAACAAATCATCCTGTGGCGTGTACCGGAGAAACGCTCAGTACCAGTAGGACCGCTGATGCCTCCTGTTCTCCTGGATGCCCATCTTCTCCATGACTTCCTCCTCAAGAGTCTTCAGGGAGGGCGTGTAGGTCTTCTCCAGCGTGTCCTCTGGACTGGTGTCTTTGGGACCGTCTAAAACAAACACCACATTTGAGAGAATGGCAATCCAAAGAGTATCCCCCTCCACTGGTTTCCTCACCTTTCCACTGCTGAGGCACAATGCCGTCTGGTCGCTCCACCACCGGCTTGGGGATGATGCGACCGGTCCGAAGCGACACTCGAACCCGCTCGCCCTCTTCGGTGAACCTCCACTCCACCTCGGTCGGCTTTCTGGAAGAGCGAAGGGCGGGTGGAGAAGGACCGCGCCATTCAGAGAGCACAGAGACAAAGGCCACTCCTGAATGGCTCGCCACTTTGTGGCGACTGCTCGAGCGCTGTCAGCATGCGGCGTGACCTGTCGGCAGGGTCGACGAGGCGGATGTCCCGCAGCAGGAGGGGAGCCTCGCTGGCGATGTAGGTGCCGCGGTAATCGCCGCTTTTCCCGATGTATCTGTAATGCTTCCATGGAAAGTGACAGTTCATTCAAAATGTGAATGAATGATTGATGGAGGTGCAACGATTCATGAACAACTCATGGCTTATCAAATGAATTGACAATTATTTTGGATGAATCGATTCATCAGTTGGATTATTATTATTATTATTATTTTTTTTATGCTGCGAATTTCAGCTTCTCAACAGTAAATAATATCCAATTTCTCTAGTACTCCATGAAAGCAGACTGTTTTTTCTGTGTTCATTAAAAAAAAAAAAAAAAAAAAGTTTGCCTGTGTTTTGATTGTTAATGATTCTGTTACGGACCAAATCGCTAAGTGGATCATAATTCATTTGTGCAATTTCTACCCTTTCTTAAATGAAGACCTTTTTCTTGGATCTGATTCATCAATGAATCGACAACATTATCAACAGATTAATCAACCATTATAAGAAATCATTAGTTGCAGCCCTAAAGATTGTGAGGATTTAACAAAAAAAAAAAAAAAAAACAATGCAGGCTTACTGTGTTTAGACCCTCCAGTATGACCCAGTTTCTGCGTCTGAAGACCTGGGTGACTTTCCCCTGTTTGCCTTTGTCCTTCCCAGACAGAATTTCCACCTGAAGGACGCAAACAGGTGAAATACTCAATTTCATGACAAACGGATGGATTAACTGCATTCCCATTCGCAGAATAAATTAAACTCACTACAAAACACTACTGTTGTACCTCATATAGTATTTGGTCTTCCTGTTTTTTGTTTTTTTTTAAATTGAGAAATTAAAAACAAATCGAAGTTACATATTTTCGTTGGACAATATCCATTTTATTGATAACAAATATTTGGAAGACATATTTTTTAAAGTCATATTATTCAACTGTAACAGTACTCTTACTACTCTGATTAAAACCACTGTTGGGCTCACCGTGTCCCCTCGGAACACAGACCAGTCCTCGTTGGCGATGGGCTCCACGAACACCTTGTTCCGCCTCTTGCCTGGCGGATTAAGACGCTTGGCAGCCGCGGTCCACGGCCTGTTGGTGCCGTAGCGGTAGTCCTTGGGCACCACCACCCGAGCGGCCATGGACAGCACCGCTGTCAGCCTCATGATGCCAAACGGCCGCTATCCGGAGGAACTGTGGCATGGATGGTAGCTATGAGCAGTTAGCCGAGAAGCTCAAGGGAGAGACGCTGCGGCTACGCTAACGTGAGCGCGTCGATAAATTGTGAATCAAGTGTCGTCAGCCGTTCCACCGTAACCTTGCACATTCGCACAGGCTTAAAATTGACATCAAATAACATTATGGAAGTAAATAAAATGAATCGAATAGGTTTACGTGAGTCTTACCTTCTTCTCAATGTCACGCCGCGTGAGGAAGAGGCCTAAAAGGCAGCAGCACCACCTACGGGACTGGAAGATCATATGCGCGCATGCGCAATACCCAAACTCTGTCCATGCAACCATTTTGGCACAACCTGTACTTATTCAATGGATCTCGTTTTATACTATATCGCACTTTCACAACTTTCCTTCACATGTATCTAAACAGACTGCAGTTAAACCTTTTATAGATCTTCGAGGACAATTGAAACACGTTAAAAAGAGAAACAGACTGCATATTTAACTGTTCAATTCATACAGACAATGCTAAAACAAGAGTCTTTGTAATAAACATGTTTATTAAATGGACCAGCAGCTACAATATTAAACTAAAGCGCAGCATATTAAAACAACGGGGGAGGTGATAGCAACAATTACACTCAGAGAACAAATCAATTCGCCGTGTACTTTAAACAGCAGAGTGGAAAATGTTGATGCATGATGTGCGTCAAGGTCACATTTTGACCATGTTATGTACAAAATTATTATTATTATTTTTTCTTCTTTTTCTTTGCTTGCTCCCACTGGATTCACGTAGCAGGGGAGAGTTGTGAACTAACAACGACACACATTAACCCTAAAATAAATCACTCCTTGTTTAGAACTTCACAATGTTGTTCAACATAAGACTTGTACATAAGTACACTGGGGGTTGGGGTGGTCATGGGGGGGAAACGTAAGACTCAAATTCCAGTTCAGCAATTTTGGAGACCAAAAATTATTTTTACAAGGTTTCACCATCAAAAACACTTCTAAGTGTATACCGTATTTCTGAGAATAGTAGTCAAGGTGGAGCCTGAAGTTACCCAACTGCAAAAGGTTTAGTCAAAGTATACTTTTAAGCTACATAAAAATTACTAGTAGGTAAGCCGGCCCAATTTACAAACTGTGGGATGTCAACATGGCTGCACACAACATTGTTGCATGACCACACAGAACGCGAGTCGTCGTAAAGAAGTCATCTCCACGTCACGCAGTTGTCTTTCACAACCACTCTCAATTTGAACTCGCTTAAAACATTCACCAAGACTCTGCGCTCTCCGGTTATTTGAGAAAGGCGTAAGCTTGGCCAACTGGATCACTATTTGAGGAAATACGGTACACGTGAAAGATGAAAAGATGAACGCAAATGCCGTCAAATGATCACGACATCATCAACATTTGGGTTTTTTTTTTTTTTTGTTCTGATCGCATTAGATGGTGGTTAAGATGAACTTGAAGAGTGTTAACTTTTGAAAGGGTGTAGTGGGCTACACGCTAACATGGCCGAGCATGCGGGAATGTCTTTCAGCTTCAGACTATGACCGCGACACACAATTCTCCGAAGTATTAACATATCAAACGCTAAAATTGTCGCTCTGAGACAGGGTCTAAATATATATATGTATATATATTTATATATCATATGTTCAATACACAATCAGATGTTAAATTATTCACACGTGGGCACCCTCAATGAGCACAACACCACCAAAAGGAAGCAACCAAATATCACCGTACACCGGACAAGACCATGTTGAATGGCAGGCTTTCCTGAACACAAAACAAAGGGCCTCTTGTGTTGAACGGCAGGGTTTCCCCAAAACAAAGTGGGTGCCTATCGTCTTGGAGTCTTCGTTGTTTATTTGAAGTAAATATTTCGTGTTTATATACAGTTGTAGGCCGATGTTATGGCAATGGTTTGGGAAACCCCGATTAGGTAAACGGGACACAAACTTAAATATCTGCCGAGCAGCTAATGTAAAACAACCGGAAGTAAAACACTTAAATTTAAAGCTGAAAGCATGAGTGAAAATGTTTTTTTTCCCTCTCAACATATACACTAAGTATTACAATATCCATAATTGAAGACCATTTTCAAATATTGAGTTACCCTTTGTTTGTCGTTATTTAGGTTTGACACCTGGCATTCACTCCGTGTAATTACTTAATTGCACTTGGAAATAAAAAAATATGTACACACCAAAATCCCCATTTATAAACGAGCCCCAAACAGCTCAATTGGTTTTGAAATCCAATTGTTATTATTCCTATTGGGATATATGATATCCCAATTTGACAAATGAACATTTCTTTGTCTCGCCATACAAACGCTTTTTGTTGTTGTTGTTGAAAATATTCATGGATCTTGTGAAATCTGTTTTCCTGCACGTCAAGGCGTCCACGCTTCTGTTCCAGATGAGAAGCATCGACGGGTTCTTGTCTCAAGAGGCAAACGTTAAGCACTCTCTGTCACGGCCTGCGGGTGGGGAATTTTATGGGAGCAGTTGGGGAAAACAAAACATATGATTACTGCTGAGATTTTCGCCTTTAGAATGAAAATCAGGGCTTTGGCGCCATCATGTGGCATCTTAGGACATTTCCAAACCAGCGACTGAGTTTTCCGTAAATAATGGGGGGAAGTTTAAAAAAAATAAAATCTGCAAATGCTTGTATTTGTGCACGCAGAACTGTGCATGGGTGGGGAACAGAAAATACGAAAGTCCTGCTCCGTGCTTAATGATGTGCAAGGGGGGACATAGATGCAAAAACGATTTACTGCCATCTCCAGCGCGGTAGCGCTCTGACAACAATTTACCTTATCTGCCATTTGTTTTCCCGGTGCTGCGGTATTTTCCTCGGGCGCGGCCACGTCATTGACCTTGCCCTCCGTCTTTGCGTTGTCTACGTCGGAAGCACCCTCGGCATCCGCGTCCTTCGGCCGCTTAGGCGAGACCTGACAGAGAGCGCACAGGCTGATTGGCGATCTTTTTTCCACTTGTTTGATAAAAGCCAGCAAAAGTCCTGATTTTTGGGTGTCCCTGAAAGATGATCTTAAGTGATTATCCCGGGCTGTTGTGTGCTACCAATGATTTTCCTGCGCCAATGTGCTCAATCAAAAAACTCTCCCAGGTCTCCCAAATCAGTCTTGGTTCTACATCAGTCTTCGGGCTTGATGGTGGAGACTTGCGTTTGTTGGTGCAAATATGTGTGTGTGTTTCTAGTATACTGTGTTAATGATCTCAATTACAATACACATAAGAGCAGTAAGCACAGTCAGTGTTTCACTCACCTCCGCCGACTCGTCAGCCTTGCGCTTGTTTCCTCCTCTGTCATTCTTCTCGTCAATGACCAGGGCACCCTCGTCCTCGTCGCTGCTACCCTCCGCGTCGGCTTTCTCCGAACCGGCGGCTTCTTCTGACTCGTCATCCTTCTTTGATGACTTCGAGCATATTTGCGCTCATTTGTAACAATTAAATATTACGTGCGGGCCAAGTGGAAAAGAGCGGCGTCTCACCTTGTAACCTTCATGTGTGACGGTGGGGTTGTTCTCAATCTCCCAGAGGCCCTCGGCGAAGCCTTTCCTCTTGTTGGCTTTTCCGTACTTCTCTTTGCACTCGTCGTATGGGAACAAGTCCTTGGCCCCGAGGGACGCCCTGAAACACCAAATGCTGTCAAACCCTCATTATGTCTACTTAGAGTAACAATTTAACAACCTGTGTGCAGAGGTTTTGCTGTGTTCCAAGGTATGTTTTCCTCATAAGGAAAATATGTAAAATTGATCTGCTGCCGTAATGAAGCCCTTTAACTTTTGTGTAACTCACCAGTTCACTGTTTTGGAACCAGTCCAATGCAATAATAACACTATCTTGCTTTGGCACAATCTTTTTGTGAAGGAATCCAAAACCGATAAGGCAGGATAAAAAGATGAGTCGCTGAACTGCCACGCTGTTACTTACGTTTCGTGCGTCCCGAAAAAGAACACCTGGTACTTGTTGGAGGGTGACTTCACTGCTCGCTCTGGGAACTCGTCAATCTGCAAAAGAGCAGACGCGAAATGTTTAAAAACGTGAAAATGTAGCTGGTTGGAAAAATACCATGCTCTGTCAGTAAATGCTCCACAGGTTGCTGGGAACATTTATTCACAAATTGTGGCACATTCCATGTGCCAACAACAGTGGCTAAATTACAGGGCCCCTTTGTTCATGAACAAACTCAAATTTGTACGGATGTCAAATTGGGGCTCCGACGCAGTACAAGAGTCATAACGACACCTCAAAACTCAAATTTAATAATCCACCCTCAACCAAACTGATGAAAATAAACCATGGCTTCCCGGGGATAGGATGTGTACTGTACAAAAACTCACTCTCCAAATAATTCTTGAAGTACAATATTACCTACTTATGTGCAACACAGTGCATTGGGATCATTGCTTGAGGAGTTTCAAATATACACAATATGTTCAGTGGATTACACTGTGAAATATGATCATCTCCCTCTTGAGTTTCATGACAACAACGCTAGATTATTTTAATGTTGATCATGATAGTGGTAGAGAGCCAAGCATTTTCTTTGAGGTAATATTTGGTGCAAATAGCTTAAGACACCACTGATCTATAGAAAGATTTCCAGCATTTTACTTTGATCTCATAAAAAGGGACCCCCGACCCATATCTTGGATAAGGGCATTGCCACCACTGTTTGCATTGTTGCAACAAGTGTCACCCTCGCTGCTAACCCACTCGACTCAATATTATCCACCGACAACGGCGATTTTTTTAAACGTTTTTAGATGGGGGGCGGCTGCTGATACTTCAATTTATTTGACGTAGCCTTCCAGCGTCTACAAATGGCCTGTTAGGATACGTGTAGTTGCACTTGGGGTTACTAAAAGCAGAAAACATCACGCTACTTTCTGTTTCAAATATGGCTAAGAGAAGAAATACGTGTGCGCGCAGGCGTGAGTGTACGCTAGCTAGCAAAAAGCGCGGTAAGCTAAGATACGCAAGCTAGTAGGCCTCTCGTTCAGGCAAGCATTGTTTCAATGAAAAAAAAAAAAAAGAAAAGCCTTGCAGATCGGAATGGCGCTTACCCTGGCGGGCCAGTGCGGGTAGCCTTTCATTTTGGCGAAGACCAGGTCTCCTGGTTTGTACTCCCGCTGCCTGTTGGACCGGGGCATGTTTTTTTTTTTTAATTCCTGCAGAAATCGGCGCCGAGACGTAGTCGAAGCAGCGATAAGAGCAGCTGTAACACGATTATACACCACACCTGAACCCGGCGTCGTTTTTCAAAGAAATCAACGGCGAAAACGCGCCACTCGTCTTTTTTTCGGCGCGAAATGAGCGACTACGCGACCTTTGACGCGATTTTTTTCTTTCTATTTCGCTGTCAATGTTTTTTTCAATCGCGTCGCCCAATCCGATGGCGCTGATTCCCCGTGGCCGGGGTTTGAAATTGAATCCCGCTTTTCCCTCCGACGGAGGCGCCTCCACCGAGGAGTAGACAGCGATCAGGTTGCCTTTCGCACGCCGTCCGTTTGGGGCAGTAGGCGCCACGTCGATACTTGCTTTTCCGGGCGAGAAGAAGTAAAAGTTGACGTCATTGTCCTGCGACTTTGAGAGGAAGTGCGGAAACATTTCGCCTAGCTGACTAAGAAGCCCAAAAAACAACAACAACAACAACAAAAACATGTCAGTGTGTCACTTTTTTCTTCAGGGACGCTGTCGTTACGGTGATAAATGCTGGAACGAGCATCCAAGAGGAGGCGTTGAAAGCTGTAACTCTAACCGCTCTTCGGCTCCCCAGCAGTCTCGCGGTGGAGGCGGCGGTATGTAGTTTATCGTCGTATGTACTGTATGTGTAAAATTTAAGATAATAATTCATTTACACGAGCCAAGCATTATAAGACATGTCGTTTAAAGACAAGCCCTATTGTATAAGTAGTGTATCATTCTCCTTTGATAATTATTAAGAAGGTAATGAATCTTTCCACCTTTTTCTGCTTTGTTAAACTTTTCATACTTTTCTTAATCTTTGTTCTAGTTTCAAAAGGTTGGTATCATTGGAAATCTTGCCTGACATTGAAGGAAAGTGCCAATCTATAATGACGATGTTAATTATTTTTAAGTAGTTAATTTTCGAGACAAATGAGAAAATGTGGCTCTCAAAACATGATAAGATTTAAAAAAAACACATACGTTGTTAAAATACATAGTAAGGAATATACCACCATAGGCATTTGAAATTGATCAAAATGAAATGAAATTAGTCTTCGAAGTGCGACGGTATGTCATCAGAGTAACATACCAAGCTAATGGCAGATCCTAAAAAATGTATGTGCAAATCCAGCCATTTACAGTGATGAAAGTCCTTTTCGCGGAATTCCAGATTTCAAAATTTTCATGAAAATTCCTCTGGAAAATTTAGGAAAAATTGCCTAAAATTAATCCAGATATTATTAGAGAACATTGAACGAACACGTTTGATTTCGTTGTTTTGCTTTCACGAGCGTAGCCACGTTGAGGCACGAACACTAGGAACAGGAACGCCCCTCCCCTCGCATTCTCATGGCCTCGTCATATCTCTGAGATTTTGACGTTTCGGCGAGAACGGAAGCCACAAAAGGTGCACGTGTGCACACAAAAGGCAGATTAATCATTGAATGTCGAGTATTTGAATAGCGTTTTGTGTAAACTAATTCATGCGTGATTGGCCAGCACAATGTTCAAACAGGTAGACAGGCAAGCTGACATACGTGCAATCGACGCGAGTGTTAGGAACACGTTCAAGTGGTCATGGCTTGAGGAAAAGGACTTGAACTGACATTTTTTGTCCGACTACATTAGAAAGGTCGACGAACCTGATAAGTCAGTTAAAATCATATATTTATATTTTCAGGAAAGTCCATTTTCATCTCTGCATTTACATTTAGTCGAATCACAGAAAAACATACAATTCAGATAAATGGGGATTTGAAAGCACATTTTACTCGCCGTTAAGGTTTTTGCTGCCCATTTATCATCTGTAAATTTCAGTATCTGTTGTTTGAGATTTGTAGCGTGTTTTTGGTCGATCAGAAAATGTCCATGCTACGATCGCAATTCAGGTTGTGTGATATTGAGTATGTAGCTCATTGAGTGACCACTGCCGACATTCTGCAGTGGATGCGCACATATCGACATGGATGCCGCAATGTTGATTTGTTTGGCGTGTGTACGTTTCAGCATTTGGCAACAAGGTCTGGGTGAATCCCTCTCAGCAAAAAGGAGGCTTCAACCAGCAACAGCCCTCCCGCGGAAGCGATCAATGGGCTGGGAGGAGTCAGGATGTGAAGAGCTCCGACTTTAGCTTCTCTTCTCAAAACAGATTCTCGGCACTCAGCAACAATAACAACTTTGAGAGGGGAGGAAGGCGAGGAGGTGGAAGAGAAGCGACGGTATCTGGCGAAGAAGATGATGAACAGAAACTGTGAGTCTCCTTTTTGTGACGTACAGTACTTTAGAATGCGTTCACATGACCTAAAAGTGTGTTCTTTTATTTGAGATTTGAGTTAAATACAGCAACTCCATACTTGTCCTTTTCCCTATCATCCAGGGAGGTGATTCAGAACGACATGAAGACTTTGGAGAACTCGGGCCAATGGGGCTTTTCATGTTATTGTACCTTCAAGACACATATATCTGGTGTGTATCAAACACATCATCTTTGTCCGATTTTTTTTTTTTTTTTTTTAGAGAATAAACTTGGTGACTTTGTTTGACTTTCTCCCCTTCGTAGGTTTTACTGATCTATCTCCAGAAGAGCTGAGGCTGGAATATTACTCCGCCAAAGCATCAGGAGACCTGCAGAGTTATGTACGTGAAGTATTTTCATTTCATTTCACTGTATCTGTCCGTTGCACAGATTAACATGCCGTGGTTCTTCTGGTCCATCTCTTAGTTGAATGGTGTCAATCTGTTGCTCAATCAGTGGAGAAGCAGAGTCCAGGAATTGCTGCTCATGAAACCAGCCACTCGAGCAGCGTTGGTACACAGCACACCGCAACCCTTGAACATGTCCTTATATTTAATATGCAGTGGTTTCTTGACTTGCCTGTGTCTCAAAAGACTCAAACTCAAGTCTCGGTACCACAATAAAGTTTTGAAATACAGTTACTGAGAAGTGGATAGATTTTTTTTTTTCTTTGTAGCTTGCAGAACTGAAAAATCCCTCTTCTCCGGTCTCGTCCAGTGACTTTGGCTCAACAGCTTCTGGATTTGGGTCATCTTCATTTGGTTTGGGCAGTAAAGGTAAGTGCCGTGATCAAACCTTCAATCTTTGTCTTCGTTTTAATTCATTGTCCATGTACCTTGGACCCTTTGAAAATGATTGAACCAGAATTTTTTTTTAACGTGAGAGACCCCACCCTAAAGACAAGTAAAAAAAATGTGACTGTAGCAACCCCATTGTGCCAATTTCACTTTTTTTTTTGAATGTAGGATTTGGAGAAGCACCAGTTCAAGCAAGCACATTCAGTTTTGCCTCTCTCGAGGGTGGATTTGGCTCTTCAGCAGCTCCAACATCCACACCGAGTTTTGGCAGTGCCATCTCAGTCCCGACTGGGTTTGGTGCCACCTCCTCTTCATCTGGTTTTGGTTCTGGTGCTCCTTCAGCTGCATCGTTCTCCTTCGGGTCTCCGCCCAGCAACCAGCTGGCGGCTTCATCTTCGGGCTTTGGCTCGGCCGCCTGCTTCAGCTTCTCCTCCACTGCCAACAACAATAAAGCGACATTTGGAAGCGGTTTTGGATCCAAGGCACCTGTGGGAAGTTTGTTCGGACAGTCGAGTTCTTCCACAGGCTCTGCTGGCGGTGCCTCGGACACGTTGTTCTCCCCCGAGAGTGATCTGACCCCTGAAGAGCTGGATCAATTCAAAGCACAGAAGTTCACTTTGGGACAGATTCCTTTGAAGCCTCCTCCTGCTCAAATGCTGCGGCTTTGATGCTCAAGAGTATTTTATGATCACACCCAAGTGGCTCAGGTGACCAAGTTGTGTTTGATATGAACGAAGGAATAAATATTTGTCCTTTTTCCCCGCGTGTTGAAAATGACCCATTTTCGTTACTCACATTTGTACTCTTTCTGAAATGACTTAAGATGCCCCAAGAGGCTTCCTTTTGACTTATGTTCGAGAGCTCAAAATCGATTCATGTGCCCTTTCGAAATGTGTACGTGGTTGATCTCCATTGCTTTGTTGACGGATGACAACGACGGGTGCGCCGACCGCCGCTTGAATGGCCTCTCGCTTGGGAATGCCAATGAGCTGATTGGGATTCATTGGCACATCAGTTTTCACGGTTTGGTACAGCTGCAGACAACAAAAGGCCTCTGCAAGTGAAACATTTAATTGTATTGTGCCACTGTGGTTTCCCTGTTGGGAGTAGAATATTGATCCCCAGCCTTACAGATTTATGTTTGTAGTGGTGGCTCCCTGCGCTGGTTATGTTGTTAAATACATATTTCGCTTGTGTATGCTGGACTGGGTTACAAAGCAACACACTGACATTAAGAAGCCATGACAGTGTTTGCTCTCACAAGATTGAGGCTGTCAGAGATATGTTTATGTGACGCTCATGACCAATGGCATCTGCAGTATGTGCAACTGCACAGAGCGGCATTGCTGGGGGCCGGCAACGTGCCCCACAATTTAAATAAAAAAAACAACAAACCAAAAAATATGACGTGAATTTTTATTTTCTGGTCAGTAACGTTGTCAAATATCTGCGTTTGTAAATGGAATTGAAGCCCCTTAGTGGAGTCACACTTCACAGAAGAAATGCAGAGTGGAGAGCAGATATACATCATGGTCAAGTTTATGTCAAGTAAGGCCAGAAGCCAAGACTTTGGAAGCATTTTAGCAACGTCATTCTCGACGTAAATTCGATTCCCTTGACTTTAAAAACACAAAAGCATTTCATTTGTACAATTTTATGCATGGGCTAATTTCCAGTTTCATGGTTTAGCGTGGTTTGAAAAAGCTACGGTGTCAAATACTGCTCAAACTAGCTAACCGGAAATGAGCTCTTCTTTTCTTTTTCAGTGGGTCCCCGAAGCAGGGCACAATATAACTGGCCCCGCCTACTGGCCGAAGATAGCTGGGATAGGCTCCAGCACGCCCGCGACCCTCGAGAGGATTAGCACATTATCAAATGGACGGATGTAAGGGCCAGACCAGTGTTTTTTTGTTTTTTTTTTAATGAAATCCTTTTTACATTTTGTATTTTGGCTGCAAGGCTAAAATTTTAATTTGTTCCAAAAATTAGTTGTCAAATCCGACGTTTTTTCCCCTCTTGTTTTTGTATTAAATTATAACTCATCAACCAAATCTTTTTTTTGACGTGTTTTTGTCTTCCTGTGCTTTAGGCGTATGTCAAGTTTGAGTTGCACATGTCAAGCCACCCGATGTCGCTGTTTGCCCGCAGCGGCTTGCGTCCCGCTCCTCCTTTCTCCCCCCTCAGCAGCGCCCCCTCGGTTCGGGTCGGCTCGACTCAACCCCACCTTTTGGATTGCAGCTCGAGCAGACGCGCAGCAAGCACAGTGCAGAGCGGAGACGCCGCTCAGAGCTCTTTTCGCTTTTTACCACCGAAGCGCCAAAATTGCAGCCGAACGATGACATTGATCCACGCGGGCTACAAGTACAACATCATCTGACAACCTGCGCCCCGCACAGCTCCTCTTCTCCGCTCCTTGTGGTAAGTGCTCCCATTCGGCACCACAATTGTGCACAATGCGATATGCTGTCACTGGGATGCGACACACGTGATCAGCCGAGCATCTTGAATTAAGGCTCATATTGTAAACTCATGCGAGTGCGTGAATGAGTGTAAAAATGGACTGTCTTGCATTTTCAATTAGTTACTCACCCTCACGTTCAGTCAGATCAAATTTGACACACTTGACAGGAAAAAGATGCCGTTCTTTCTTCATGAAATTTGAATGGCGTTTCCTCAAGTGAGGCCAAAATTGCAAAAGTAAAATTTTAAAAAAATGTCTCTGGTTCAACAGTCCAACAATGTGTCTGCTAAAATGGCTTTTTGATTTATTTTTTTTGATTGTGTGTTAAATCAAGAAAAAATGGTGGGAATGGTGGAAGTCTTGAACATTTGGAATTGTACATGCCATCAGCGTGTTTGTTTGTGATGGTGTTTTTGAGGGCACTCCAAACAGTCCAGCAAACTGTCTGTGTGGCCACCACTTTTTCACAGGAACATACCCAAGGGTGTCAAACTTCTTTTTCGATCAGGGGCCACATTCACCCCGATTTGATCTCAAGTGGGCTGGACCACTATAAGCTATAACGATAATTGCAACTGCATCCCATTGTTTTGGTGCAAACAATTCAAAGTCTCCTACTATACGCTTTGAGAATATCCACAGTTATTGATTATTGTATTGTCACAGTTCTCGTTGCAAACCATATGGGCTACTATCGATGAAATGTCCGAACACAAATTAGTGCAATTTCAAATACTGTATATGAAGAATCCATTTGCAAATGCAGCTTTTAGATTGTCTCCTTTTTATGAAACAAAGTATTATCATCTTATCTTACTTTAAATATTCATACATTCCCACATCCATCTGAAAATCTTGACAAGCTCAAATGACTAATCACGGCATGCAGATTAAAAAAAAAAAACTCTTTGCCTCTGCTGAAACATTGATTGACAACATAGTATGTGTGCATGGAAGATGAACAGTATGTCAGGCTTCAATCTAAATAAACCACAACTGCTATTCTGGTGCATTTTTCTGCATTTGCGGGGGAAAAAAAGATGAGTTACCAAGTACTGTATTGCGGAGTCAAAGGCTTTCTGCGTTATTTCTTTATGATGTGTTTTATATAATAAGTGTGTGTGTGTGTGTGTGTGTGTGTGTGGATATGAGTGAGGGTGTCAGGCAAAGGGAGGGCAGAGCACATAAGCATATTATTCTATATAAGCACATTACCAGCACGCACTTTTCAGATGGCTCGTCCTCTCCGCCAAGCATGAGACGGGCTGGGCCAAGCTCATGCTGAGGTGTGATATTATATCAGATGACACACACACACACACACACACACACACACACACACACACACACACACGCACGGACACACATGAATAAAGCAAACAGGAGCGAATCACTCCTCGACCTCCCATCTGTGGGTGGTGAGTGAGTGAGGTCAACATTTGTGTTGAATTTATAGTTAAAAAAAAAAAAAGGAAAGCCTTTCTGATATTTGTGACACTTGCCGCTGTCAAGCCTGGGGAATAGCGTGACGACTTAAACTGGCTCAGAGGAAAGCAGGCACTTTTTTGGCTCTCTTTTTGAAAAATAAAAAAAAAGGAGAAAGAGGATAATTATCCATGTGCTTAAGTCTTGAAATCCAATGCCTGACTCCAACTCGATCCTCTTTGTAATCTACTGAGGCTGTCAAACTGGGAAGAGACCCAAGCTTCTGCCGTGGAAAGCCTGTCTTGTATAGTTCCACGTGCGTTTAAAAAAAAAAAAAGAATGGAGAGATGCGGTCTTACACTCTGATTGTCAATTTAGATGTGAGAATAGCAAGAAGTGGGAATTATGGAAGTACAAATACTTTGTAACTGTACTTAAAGATCCTAAAAGTGAATAAAAAAAAAAGTGAAAGTATTTAGTGGAGTGTTTTTGGGGTGTGAAATTATACATATATTTTTTTTGTGCATCTGAGTTATTTTGTTGATTTTTTTTTTCTTTTTTTATGAGACAGATAATGCTCATCGTAATGTGTTCATTTTTTTTCTCATCATCTTTTGAGCACTCTAAGTGTACATGGCAAGCACGTAACCACACTTAAAAATCTGAAACAGTCAACCATGAGGCTGTTACATGTCTACGAATCCGTGATATGCGCTGATTGCTTCTATCGCTGAACCAAGTTAGGCACACACACACACACACACACACACACACACACACACACACACACTACAGCCAATCTGTGGCAAAAAATGATGACTCCAGTCTCCATGGTGAAACGTTTGGAATGGAGCCTCCTTGATGATAATCATCAAATCTCTTTGCTCCGTTTGTATCATTTTAAATGCTCATTTGCTCGGCCCTATTTTATACACTAATCCCTGCTCAGCTGAGCAAGCGATACAGCGTTCTGTTTCCCACAATGAATCGATCATACTTAAAAAAAAAGTCCGCTATTGTCACTCCTTCGTCTTTCTCTGCGTGACATGCACCCACTCATGGCCTACAACGAGGCACTCTAAAGTAGCCATGCCAGCAGACTATCTGAAAGGAAGAAGCATTTTTGGGGTTCAGGCATAGCTGCGTAGCGAGCTAACCTCATGTCCCAATTGTTCAGTCTAACCGCTGATGTAAATTAATCCACGACCCACGAAAATGTTCCTCCCCTCGTTCTTCTCATTGACACCATCACAAAATGGAAGGATGTCAAAAAGACTCTGTCAGAGGAAGCGGCTGGGCTGGGGCCTGGAAAGCTAGAAATAAAACAAGTAGAATGGAGGGAAACTGGGTTAAGAAGGTTGTGATGGATGAGGCCGAGCGCTTTCCTGACTCATGGCCGCGTTCCCTGGTGACTAATGTGGTCAGTGACACGTCTCATCTCCTTCTCCCCACCTGCCATGTTCGAAGTCAGCCTGGGGGCATTGTGGCACACCCTGCTCTCATCCATAATCCTATTTTAGAACAATAATGACTTATTCATTACCTTACGTATGCAAACACAAAAATGTATATATGTATACATACATATAAATGAAAAACACTGCCACCCAAATGTTCTCAATGTTGAGAGGAGCCCTTTTTTATAGCCTTTTACAAACCTCTCAAACGCACAGCACATCACTCAAATCATCATCCGGGTTTTAATTCCTAAAGACGTATTAAGGGCAAATTCACTCGACAGTATATGGATTATTTAAGACATCCTGCTACCGGAATGAGTGCTGTAGCATCAATAATCTGTGCATCGGTCCGTACAACCGTTGGCCAGTGTAGAAAGAAAAAAAAAAAAACAACACAACGTTTCTCCATGCTCAAATGGCTTTGTTTGCTTCAATTTGGCTTCCTCAAGAAGTGGGCGTAAAAGAGTGATTTGCGGCTCGTCTATATGAGCAACCAACGCCAGGAGATGCAGTGAAAAGGTTCAGCAGAAGTGCAACAGTGTCACAAGGAGGTTTGCTGAAGATGTTACAAGAGACAAGGAGGAATTTTTGAAAAGGTCATTCTGACGCAAGATAGTACGAAAATCTGATTTAAACCAACACAAATTCCTGCGACGATAGAACGCAGGTGTGGTTTGGGCCCATTCAACGGTTCATTTCTGAAGTCGATATGAGTAGACAACTCACGCAGCCTCCACCGTCAGCTCCACTGACACTGTTTAAGGTTGGAGCCCAAATATGATTCCAGGGAAACACGGCAGACAAACAGCGGCTGACAAGGTTGCCCGCCAACAGCAGGCCATCCTTGACATTTGTGTTTGTGTTATCCGCAGATATATCTTGCCACCCACCCACCGACCTCTGTCTTCTTTGCTGCGCACTTACTGTAAGTTATTTGGGAAGGCTGTGGAGGAGGAAGTCACATCTGCTTCCTCAGTGTTTGCAATTTAGGGCTTGGCTAATACGTGGTTTTTTTTTTTTTTTTTTTTTTTTTTTTAGGGTTAGAGTTAGCCTAATTATAATACAAATTAATCCTGACCCAATTCCAATATTTGGCAAAGAAAATTTCTGATAAACATTGAAGTGTCCAACTAAAAAGTGCGATGAGTAAAATAACTTTATTTTGGCTCACTTCACACTTAGGATGGTAAAGACATGAATTCGGCAAACATCAGCCAATTTTTTGGGCCAATCATTTTGGAAGGGTTCGTCATCTTTGTCTGAGGTTGTAAAGTGAAACCAGGCACGAAACAACAACAAAAACAATCCGCAAAAATCCGCAGATTTTTCTCGGCCGATTTTTAACGATTTAAAAATAGGTAATATGAAGCGATGAAATCGACTGACCGATTGATCTGTTGGGCCAACTGTTCTCGATATGTTTTCTTCCCGCCCATCATTGATGTTCCAATTCCTTGATGCTCGCGAACTGATGCATGACACTGGTTTGAACTCCAAAGTTTTGCCGAGCGTTTTGGCCCCCGCCATGATCTCACATCATCCCTTATCTTTTGCCCTTTCCTCAGTCCCACTCCAACGCTCCTGCGCCCCCGCCTCCACCCACCGGTCCTCTCGTCCAGCAGGACCATGATGCTGAGCAGCTCGGTGGAGGTGCCCAGCCCGGGCGCTTTGAGCAGTCTCAGCGGGCTGAGCGAAGCGGCTCGCAACGTGGTGCGCTCCTCCAGCATCTCGGGGGCCATGTACAACCTGGAGAAGAGTCCCGGAGGCGGGGTGCCCGAGTCGGCGTCGCTGGCCGGCATCAAGAAGCGGCGCTCCAGTCTGGGGGCCAAGATGGTGGCTATTGTGGGCTTGTCGCAGTGGAGCAAGAGCACACAGCAGCTCAACCAGCACGGTCAGTTCTTTTCGTCATCCGCCACTCTTTCTTGCGCTCATTTTTTTGGGGTGGGGGGGTGATGTTCACTGTCAACATCTCGGCCAAGGCCACGTTTGCTCTTTGCCTCTTTCTATTTTCTCCCTTGTCTTTGTGTGGAATCGGAATTGCATTCACACTACTGCAAAATAATCAACTCAGGATCCGGTGGGGACTCTCCTTCTCCTTTCCGAAACAACATTGTGCATGCGACCTTTTCCGAACAGTGTGTCCGGTCTGCAATTTGCTTTCTGCTTGCCTGCCCACAACGTGGCTAGACATCCGACGTGTTTATTTCTGGGAGACCAGTCAGTCTTAAAACCCGATCTGAGTGTTGTTGCTATCTGCTCTGTAAATCCAACAGAGTGTGACATTTTGCAGCCTGTTCTTAGCCGAGTTCAGAAGGATTTTATTCAAATGCCAATGCACTTTAGTGTGCAGAAAACGATTTTTCACTTGCTTTAAAAAGCTTAGGATTGCGTAATGAATCCCCCAAAATCTTGCATTACCTTTTAATATAAAGCTTTTTCGAGATGCCCTAAAAGACGGCCGGATTTTATAGGCGTGCATTATGTACAAAAAAATAAAAAGAGTAAATGATCGCCCTTTTTTTTGTAGGTGCTGTCTCTTTTTCTAATCTTCTGATTTCTTTCTTTTAAAATGATGGCTTCTTTCTTGTAAAAACATGAAAATGTAGCCAATTTTTTGGCAGGTCCATTTCTCCTAAAGGCTCATCAGATGAACACGCATCTTTCATCAAGGATAACAAAAAGAATAAAAAAAAAAGTCCCAGCTCCTCAGTTGTAATTACACCCTCTCTCCACCATGAGCGTAAACAGAATAGAATTGACGAGATGCATGCATATGTGGTGCCAGCGCTAACAGAGTCGCCATATGTCCAACGGGCAGCGTCGACAGGAACGCACGCTGTCATTCACGTGGAAAACACGCATTCATCCGAATCCTCAATAACACACGTGGAGTCTTCCCCAGCACAGTGGCAGTTCGCAAATACATTCGAAATAGATTTCTTATTATCATTATTTTTGTTGGGGGAGGCGGGGAAAAAAATTCAGCTGCCGTCTTTGTCTGGAATCTTGGTTTCAAGGAACTATGTTGAAGGGAGGGGAGGAGCTTCTGTTCATCACCCCCTTTGCCTAATTATCTATTTTGCATATTTTCACCTATCACCGTTAGTCCTGCAATGTGTCTGCCTTCATGCCGACAAAACAAACAGAGAGCAAAGAAAGCACGAGGAGGCTCATAGTGGCCGCGGATGTGAAGAAGAGGGTGTCTAAATTTAGATGCTCTCAGCCGCCAGGAGAACATATCTGGCCTGGAACTAAATGACAGGATCGTGCGCCCCGCGCATCCGTCCAACTTCGTCCGTATGATGGCTCTCATTGTGACGGTGGCGTCACCACAGCTTCACCTGCGTGACCAGCTCACATGGCGAAAATCACCAAACGTGAGGCAGAGTAGACGCATCCTGACAAATGGCCACCGGCAGTTTTTAAAATCCGCTGCACGACATAACGCGAATCATTTGTTCAGTTCAACCACCCGTCCCGCTTCGTTTCGGCCCTCTCAAATGAAGTGACAGGATTGAAATGGGAGGCTTACTGGAATGAGTGGAGATGAATGCTATTAAAGCGCGTTGCGAAGGGAATGTTGGCGTGTTATTGCGTCTGCGGGCTATGCTCCGCGCTTGCTGCGTTTTGTGAATTGCATCCAGTCGGTTCACAAACAACAGAGGAACGAGCCCACCTGGAAGTGCTTGTGGAGCAAACCTGTGTTGAAAAAGTCATCACATGAAGCTTTGCAAAACGTTCCAAATCAATCAATCAATCAATCAATCAATCAATCAATCAATCAATCAATCAATCAATCAATCAATCCAGCGTGCACTGTGCGTCCTCAAAACATGCCATGTAGTTTCTTTCAAGTGTCATCGGGTAACATTTCATCATCTGTTGTTTTCCTTTTTTTTCCGGACATTCCATTTTGTGTGGCCTGGTCTTTCTTATTGGGTAATGATAGCTCGTTTTGTCGGGCAAGCATCATTTCCTACTGCATGAGGCACAAAGGACACCGGATTATTATCGGCTTCCAGCCTGGTCAATTACAGCAAATTACTAGGATTTGTTTCTAATAAATGCTCTTGATACAATCATTAAAAAAAAAAAAAAATGATGCAACGCAAAAAAAATGCAGCACACGGTTAGCAAAGGCATTCGAGTAGCGATTGCCAGTGAATGCCAAACTGAAATGGTGTGGAATTAATTGGATTGTTGGAATGCACAGCGTGAGACTTGAAACCGGAGTGGTTTGAATTTGGGAAATGTAAAAACAAACAAACAAACAAAAAAACATCCTGCAAAGTCCAGAATGAGTGGAAAAGTTCCGTTTGAATGGTTTGTGAAATCAGTCAGTAGGAATTTTGGGAACGTGGAAACTAATGCCATGGATGCTCTGAAGGCGCTGGGTGTTTGGAATTGGCGCAGACACGTGGAGGGAGTAACATGGCCAAATTGGCAGGCAGCACAATAATAATATTCACGAATATTGGCGTGGAATGACATGTCGACGGATTGCTTTTGGACAGTGTCAATCAAAATGGCCAATTATCACCTTTGCAAAGACAATGCGCCTGGATCTCATTCAAGTAGGCAGGCGTCCCTAATTTAATGGCAAGTTGGCATCATGAGACACACGTGGGAGGTGATTGATTGACCGTGGCTGTTAGGTGAGCGCCCGACTCCGGCCACGCCCTGTCGAAGCCTCCCCCGATCCGCCATCTCGCTGCGCTCACTGACGCTACAGAGGCTCGAAAGTGTGAGCGGCGCCGCGCATGAATTTGTCGGATGAACATGTCTGCGTTACGTAACGCACCTCTCCTCACCACAAATCCCGTGCATGAAATGCAAACCCGTCTTGACTGCCCTCCCGCGTTTCTTTCATGTGTGGATAGATTCCGAATTCAAGGATTTGTGGCAGGCCTTTTTTTTTTTTTTCTGTTTGCGGTCTATTTATTGCCTGCTATTATTAGTAGCGCAGAAAAAGTATTTCCGTGGTTTTTCACCGGGTGACTCACTCCTCCGCTGGGCTCAGTCAGTCTTATCTCCCGCGTTTCTTTCATCTGTGGATAGATTCCGAATTCAAAGATTTGTGCCCGGCCTTTTTTTTTTTTTTCTGTTTGCGGTCTATTTATTGCCTGCTATTATTAGTAGCGCAGAAAAAGTATTTCCGTGGTTTTTCACCGGGTGACTCACTCCTCCGCTGGGCTCAGTCAGTCTTATCTCCTGTGCAGGTTTATCCGTGGCTGCAAAGGCTTAGCCCGCACGGAGGACGGCCACTTTTGAGATTCAGCACACGAAGGAATGATTCTTGGATGCCAGGCGGGCATGGATAGGAATGTGCGTTTTACTCATGGATGTGTTTGCTGTCTCACCTGAGCGACCAACTTTCTGTTCACGTTCCCAAAGCTACATATCCCCACGTAGATATTTCCGTGGCATACATTGGCGCTCCCATCATCTCACTATTCTGAGCTCCATTTAGCTCTTCAACCCACTCGACATTTCCTTTTTGATATCGTTTTACATCTCCCGCCTTCCCTTCTTTTCGCACGTTTATGGCCGGGGGTGGTTCATGGCACAAGTGTGCGCCAGAGGCACACAAAAGCAGCAGATTGTGAGACTTTGGAATTGTCTCACACAGGAATGCAATACTTGTGTTCCCCCCCCGATCACTTTGAATGCTTGATGGAACCACAAGTACATTTCTACACTACACACAGAACGAAAAAGATGACACCGTGTGAATTCAAAATAAGCACATAACGTTGCTAGCTTAAATGCTAAAACATCGAATAAGAAAAAAAAATGGGCGTTTTGTGTTAAGCCTTAAGCCACAGCTATTTGACCGCAAAAGCAAACAGCCGAGATAACAATGTGTGTATATTCTTTATCCTCTGCGAAAATTCACCGGAGCTTACTGGCTCATTTCGTATAGTTGAGAAAGTCTCCTTTGTTTGTGTTTGCGTGACTGTATTATACTTTACCCGGAGGCCTAGTCACGCGCACCAGAAGCAGCAACTGTTTAATTCTTATGTATTTTAGGAGTTGATGTTATATGAGTTTATGATGTAAAGTTTTATGAAGTGCAATTCTATGTTTAAAAAAAAAAAAGAAAAGTTTCAAAGTTGTAAGTTGTAGCTAGTATTAGGTCAGCAGAGGAGGCCCTTCCCTGACCACTGCTTGACAGTCAGTCTTATATCTCCCCAAATTATTTTTCAATAATGTTTCTCGGTCCCTGATCACGGACAAGCCAATTAAAACTGACAGAGACTAATTTTGGAAACCAAATGATAATAAATGAAATCCCCAATGAGCATGCCCAATAGTCAAAAAGTCAACAGTATTATATTTTGGCCTCCAGTTACACTCAGGCTGTTTTCATTTGGAGTGCGTGTGTGTCGGCGGCGGGGTAGGCTGAGAGGGTCGGTTGTCCCACATTGGCCTACTTCTGGCTCCTTCTGAGTCAGCAGCCTTTTGGCAACATCACTTAAAACCTCACAATGATCACCAATTTTTGGGGGGAAAATCTCTCCCGAAAGAAAACCGCCGTGACGAAGATGACTCAAGCTCTCTTGATATTTTACTGGAAATATTTCACAACGAGGTCGGTGTTGGGTCACAAAATGTCTCCAGGTGAAAGCGATTTTAAATGGAACGTTTCCCCAGGCTTTCTTTGAGAGTTGCCTTGAAAACAAGGTTGCTGCGCCATTATGCCAACCCTCCCGCACCACCTTGGAGTCACTAGCGCTCTGGCTAAATGCCGACTGAGACCTTTCTCCTCACTCTTAAAAGCTTTGCTCCCCACCGGTACTATTCAAAGGCTACAAAACCCATTTCAACGAGCCATCGCTTCCAATATCGATGCCTACTGCTTCGAAAATCCGAGCGTAGCATCATGAACGTAATCACAGCTTGGTCAGAGAGCGAGAGGCTCACGTCCGACGTGATGCAGCTGAGATGCTATCATTATGCTCAATCAAAGGTGCTCAAGTGGCTGTGCCACGCAAATTTCAAATAAACAACATCAACAATACGGGAAATTACTCCGGAGTACAGTAATTATGTTTGTGCGCGCGGGGTCTCATGAGTATATGGTGTGGGTGATGTGAGCCTTTCGTGCATTGGACCAACACACACACACACAAACACATTTCTCCTCTCAGCCAATATAAACACCCAGGCGGGCTTATTTCAAAATCTGTTTCATGGCGCCGGCAGACGGCCGCTGCGCCGCAGGAAACTCTCCACAGGTTCCCCTCTCAAAGCCCAAATGACATTTTGCTCTTAAGCCCGCGTGCAGCCAATCTGCAACATGGGGAAATAGTCATGCTAATCTTTCTATTCCCATTTTTTGCGGCCCCCGCGAGGGCATTTGAAGGGCCAAAAACAGTCAAATGAAATCGAGTATCCATCTCATATCAATTTTCAAGTTGAATTAATGTGATTATTAGAGTGGTTAGATGCGTTTCTTCTCATCCACTCCTTCTAAAGTTGCGTATTCCGGGGGAAATAGCTTGAGAATTAGATTGGCCTTTTTCCTCACCGTGATTAAGCGACATTAGACAGAAGCCGGCGCATCATATTAACTCACCGGCAGACATCCTGCAGTACATGAAGGTTTCGGATTAGTGCAAATCATTTCCCGTGCAAAAGGACGCTTGGCAAAAGGCTAATGGCTTCTTGTCGGCCGCCGTTGTCCTGCTAGGACACGTTCATGGGATTCATGCGCGCACGGAGAGTGCGCACAAATACGACACGGGAGATTTTTAAATTCAATTATTTCTTCATTAAAACACAGAGTAACAGTACTCACACTCTGTACTGAAGTAGAAGTACATATTTATGTGTAAAAAAACAAAACAAAACTGGTACTAGTACTGCCTCACCTCCTTTGCTTCTGGGACAAGTCGGAAATTGCAACCATTTAAGTAAATGTAAGATGAACAAAAAAGTACAGGGGCTAATATGTACTTAAATACTGAAAAAAAAAAGTAAACTAATGACCCTCACTTCCATCTTGTACCCATTTTGCTCACTTCTCCGCACACCAAACTATTTTTCTCCAGGATTAACTGACAGAGTGGTATCGATTTGATACCAAGTGAATACTGGGCCAGTATCACCCATATAGAATAAGGCAGATTGATTCATCATGAAGTTGCTAAATCTGACACGTTGCCCTTTTCTCCCTACACTTTTCATGATTAAAGAGTCAAATGTCAGGAAAAGTATTTGGCCAAAGTTGCAGAACATACTTTCTTGTATAATAAACGTTTTTGTTTGTTTGCTATTATGTGAATTTTTATTTTTTTTTAAAGGCTTCACTTTAGTTGGAAAATACTTCATTTTCGTTTAGCTTCTATTAGTTTCAGCATTAGTTTTAGTTTTTTAATATATGGAATATTTGTCATGTACAAGATGGGAAAAAAAGTCACCAAATTTTGTGTAATAAGTCCGGATAAATACATTCAGAATGATCCGAATGCCTAAGTATGATATTGCTGACTTTTCTCAATTAGTTTTTTAATATATGGAATATTTGTCATGTACAAAATGGAAGAAAAGTCACCAAATTTTGTGTAATAAGTCCGAATAAATACATTCAGAATGATCTGAATGCCTAAATATGATCTTGCTGACTTTTCTCAATTTTTTTTCGACGTGTTGCCATTGGCGTAGCCTTAAAAAGTCTGTACCGTATTGTCAAAGTAAGAAGTCGTTTTCAAACGTAGGGAGTGAACGGAAGAATTCTTCCAGACATGACCCTCAAACAGCTGTCGAAAGAAAGGATGGCGCGATGGATTGAATGCAGTCATAAGAAGAAATAAATGGCCAGACCCAATTTTTATCCCTCTTATATAAGTGACACCGATTCAACTACAAATAATCTCTATTTTTACCCTCTACCTTTTTGAAGCTTTCCTTTTTTTGGGGGGCTCTAAATTTAGCAGAGAAGCCCAGCAGTGAAGACGCCACAACAAAATCTTTCATCGCAGACAGCCGCGCTTGGTTACTGTTGCTACGCGCGGCGGACCGCTGCCGTCACCGGCGCATCCAATAGGCATGTCGGCGCAGGGAGGCTAAAAACAGCATTCTATATTACAGCTCATAATGAGAAAGGCTTCATCAGTGCTCTCTCCAAATGTCAAAGCGGCTTTAATGATACGCACACACACGCACACACACATGCAAATAATGTGCGCGGAGTCAGTACTTTTGTTGATGCTCCGTCCTCTGCAATTGAATCGATTCATTCGCCTCCACCATGCGACTTGAACTTTACTATCTAATATCTGGATTGCTCTCATGTCGTACCATTTATGTGCACAAACTTGTCTTTGAATTGGATGCCGCGCGCTTTCTGCAATCATGCTCGTCTGCCGGGGCTGAGTTATTCCTCATATCAGTCGACAATTAAACGGCCTCTTCTCGACTCGCTTATGTAATGTTTTGGAGCCGTTGGATTTATGTTGGGCTCGCACTAATTACAGTGCGCCCGTGTTTGTTTTGGCCTCGGAACAAAAAAAAAAAAAAGTGAGCTTGACTGCGGAAGGGGAAAGGAAAACAATGCCGCGATGTTTCTTTTCGATTGGATGAGCGTTTGTTCAGCTGATATCCTGCTTAACTAGTATCCTCTTTGTCCTCACGAGGAGGACAATTCAGCACACTAGTATCGTAGTGGGCATAGTCGTAGTTTACTAGTTTAATTGCGTACAGGTAGGCCACAAGTGGTGCTGGTAGAGAAAAGAAATGATGAGTAAGACAGTCGTTACTGCTGAGGCAAAACTGCCAGAGGGCATTTTGGTTGGTCCGGGCTGCCACTCGTGCGTAACGCATACCTTGTACTGTTGTACTCCGAGTGCAGCGCAGTGGTTTCCTAGTCCGCTATCATTGTAACTAGTAGGCAAAAAGCGGCACCGAGAGAGAGCAGCAAGAGATCACGTATTGCCCTGCAAAGTTAAATACAACTGAATTGTACTGAATGCATGTAGAGGACCGTCCGTGCACCCTTAAAGTGACTTTCCAAATGGGAACGACCTGAGCTTCCAAGATGAACCATTTTAGTACGAGACAATAAGAAGTGGATCCCAAGATAAGAAGAAGATTCTAAAGCCACACCGACGGCCAGGAAAAGGCACTCGGAGAGGGGAAAGGCTGCCCGCGGCTCTTGGTGCAATGCAGACGGCGTTGCCATGGCAATGGAAAAGGGGGAGCCGCGCAGAGGAAGAGGGGGAGGAGGAGGGGATTAAAGAGGACGGAAGCGATCACTGCTCCTTAACGGGGGGGGGCTGTTTTGATACGAGGGGAGGGCCGCGCTGACAAATGAGTAAAGAGTGTGACAAGTTGGAGGAGTCGCTACTTGATGAATCAAAGCGAAAAAATTGATCACCATAGAAAACTCGATGAAGCGGACGATTTCAGCAAAGGGTTTAGGTTCATGACTTTTTTTTTTTTTTTGAATAACAGGGATGAGGTTGTCTCCATGGCGTCAGCTGTCTCAGGTGGCATCGCCCGCTTCCCGATCAGCGTTGTCACAGCAGCGCCTGAAGTTTGCCAGCGGACGCTCGGCCTCACTGTCAGCTTCCTCGTCGTCCTCGCATGAAAGTCTCCCGAAAATCTCGTCAGCCTCATTGCGCAGCTTTGTTTGCCCTCGGTGACTGTTCCGGGGTTGTCATGGCGATAGGGGCGAGCATGGTGAGGGGAGTTTAATAAGCTTGGAGTTGCTCAGGGCTAATGAAGTGCGATGTCTGGACCGGAGAGTGTTTTTTAACTAGCAACAAGGGACAAGCCTCTTGTTAAAAGTCTTCCGACGGCAAGGCTCTCGATCGAAAGCCGTTTAATTTGCAGCTTTCGCTCCAAGTGCTAGTACACCGTTTGTCTGTGCTAGTAGAGTGACGAGGGTGCACTAGTTCATCCAGTACGGCACATTTAAATGCAGTTCAGTTGTATTTAACGGTGAAGTAAAAGACATTTCTTCTACAACTATTTATCCCTCACCAGTAACACCCCCCCCCCCACTAGTGTCTTCCCCAACTACAGCATTATGCCATCCTGCACACTAGTAGGACACCTTTGGCATGCGAGGTGGACAACTGCAAGTTACTAGTCAGGCGAAATTGAGCGCTCCTTGACGTCTGCGCTCTTCTCTTAATACTAGTGCAGTGCTAGAAGAATGTGAGAATGTCACGAGTGGTACTAGTAACATAAACTCAGCAGCTTGCGCACAGTTTTGCCTCACTGATAGGACATAGTGGTCTAACCTGTATTCCAAATTTGTCCTACAAGTGAAGACAAAGAGCGTACGGGTACATAGGCATCGGATTCATACTAAAATGACATTTATTTTCGTCACTTGTAAGACAGTTGCACTCGAAGAATGGCTTGAATGTACTATTCAAAAGTGTCCTAGTCGTAAGGACACTGTGGTAAAAAAAAAAAAAAAAAAAAAATACCGAAGCGTTGCCCGGCATTTTTTCAACACAAGGTGGTACTACATTGAGGTCAAGTCAAAGAGTGTGGGGTTTGTGAAAGAAAGTGACCTTTGACCTTTTTTTTTTTGTTTTGTTTTCCCATTTCCAATCAGACGGCGGAACCAAGAAGCTTCGCAGCACCATCCGACGGAGCACGGAGACCGGCATCGCTGTGGAGATGAGGAACCGGGTGACGCGACAGGGAAGCAAGGACTCCACCGACGGCAGCACCAACTCAAACAGCTCCGACGGAACGTGAGCATCCGCGTCGCGTGGCCGCTTCACGCGAGTGTTGAGCATCTCAACTCAGTGGGCCCTCCTGGTGTTTTTATTTATTTTCTCTCAAGGTTCATCTTCCCTACCACGCGCCTCGGGCCCGAGAGCCAGTTCAGCGACTTCCTGGACGGCTTAGGCCCCGCTCAGATCGTTGGGCGGCAAACATTAGCGACGCCTCCGATGGGTAAGCCGTGGGCCAAGTAGGCCCAGCATATCGGTCACTCTCATTTTGCTCGACTTGCTCTACTCACCTCCTCTTTGTTTCCTTTTGCCCGCAATTTACTCTTACTTATCATTGACGCAGCATCACTCACAGTTACGGCCTCATAAAATTGAAAGATGGATTTTCTCGATGTTGTTTCACTGTGGGACGCCAGAAATGAAGGGGTCCAACGTGATGTGGATTCAGCACACTCTGCAGAGTACAGTCAGCCCTTTTCTGGCCTTCAAAATAAAATCGATATCATATGTGCACACATATATTTGCAAAAATTCTACATTTTTTTGCAGATAATCTATTTTACAAAATCTATCCTTGCCATCGACGTATAGTGACAGGCAACTGCCCCGTAAAGTGAATTCTGAAAATTTGTTTCAAAATACACGATACAAAAAAAAGTCCGTCTTGAGAGCCACTGCATGGCCCGCGGGCTTCACGCTGCTATGTCTGCTTCAGAGTGCCTCGTTGTCAGCTGTGAGTGCCTGTGGTTTTAAGTGGATATATATTCATTTCTCAAACATGTCATTATGTGTTGGCATAAGAAAAATGCTTGAAGTGCATCAATTCCCCCTCATCGTAGAAATGGTATTTCATTGACAGTTGACCGGTAAGTGGGACGTGGTTTCAGCTCATTCAGTGGACACGCCCACAACTCCCAAACTCTTCCCTGTCAAAGTCATAAAACGTGGTTATTTTCATTTTGCGGGGACTGCAAAATGCTTTTGCATATCCACTTCTTGCAGCTTTGTGTTCAACTAAATGGACCCAGAGCTCAATATAAGCCTCCCGGGTACATTTTCCATGACCAAAAACATGCAGGGAGGGATCCTGCCACGCTGTAAAAGTGAACTGTCAAGGGGAAAAAATAAAGCAAAGGGTTCGAGGGGAGCTTCCTGGTGATAATCCTCTGTACCGCTTAACGCACAAGTATATCAAGTTAATGTGCATGAAATGTGATCCGTTGACATGGATCCTGTGAAAGTCTCCAGAAGGACGCTTTTCAGGGAACGTTGTTCTGTGGCTCCCTCCAGTGGTGACAAATGTCAATTGAACACTTCAAGGCCTTAAACTGTGCACAGTCAGGCGAGACAAAAATCATGTCTCATTCTGCAGGGGACGTCCATGTTGGTATGGTGGACAGAGGAGGTCAGCTGGAGGTGGAGGTCAACCAGGCCAGAGGCTTGATCCCCAAACCGGGCTCCAAGAATATCCCAGGTTCACCGACCGCCCTGACGCTTTGGTCGCGTCCGTGCCGGAATGGAGTCGCGGTGTTTGATTTCCTTTTTTGCTGTGCTTTGTTTAGCAACCTACGTGAAGGTGTACGTCCTTGAGAACGGAGTGTGCTTGGCCAAGAAGAAAACCAAAGTCGTGAAGAAGAATCTTGACCCCAGCTACCAGCAGCCGCTGCTGTTTGATGAGAGTCCTCAGGGAAAAGTCCTCCAGGTATCCCGACTCATTCCATTTGATTGGGGTGATTCTTTCCAGTGCTGATATGATCTTCACAGCATCGCGCACGCTCCCGGTGGAAATTCAACGTATGTATACAACAACCGCTTCAACTTTGCCTTTGTGAAGACTAATTAGCTTACCGCTAACAAACGACGCAAAACACCATCGACGGGCTAACGAATAGCATTTGCGTGGCTGATTTATAGCGCTTCCAGCAACAAGTATTTGAACACAAATGGTTGAGCAACACGTGTAGGTAGAAGATCATGTTCTCTGTCCTTTGCGTGGAGCCACTCACAATCCTGCAGCTTCACGATCGCCTAACAATCCTTTTCCGCTGCGTAGGTAATCGTGTGGGGGGATTACGGGCGGATGGACCACAAGTGCTTCATGGGAATGGCCCAGATCCTGTTGGAGGATTTGGACCTGTCGGCGACCGTCGGCGGCTGGTACAAGCTGTTCCCTACCTCCTCTCTGGCAGACCCCAGCATCGGACCCCTGGCCCGACGCCTCTCGCAGTCCTCCCTGGAGAGCGCCACCAGCCCCTCGTGCACCTAACAAGGCTGAGTCATGCAAACCCTCGTACTGTACATACCACTCAAGACTGTATCTTCAAGTGCAAAAACCTGATACCCCCTCTGTACGTGCACGTTATCACCGAGCAATTTTGTAAGTCGGAGTGGGGGCCAGGGGGGGTGTAGACCCTCGTAAATTCCACATTTTACCTGAAGACGTAGCATTTTTCCTCCTCCGTGTTCCAACATTCCCAACCATGACGCATTGGGTTCACAGAGTGCCATACATAACCTGCATTTGCAGGTTCCACGAGACCATCCCAGGGCCATGCAGATGACGCATTCTAAACTGTGGTTGCCAAACTTTAAAAAAAACAAAAAACAAAAAAAAAAACAACAACTATTTTTTAAAACCAAAGCAATTGTTTATCGTAGTGTTAGATGAAGTAGTCGAACAATATAACGTCCGGATATGTAGCAGAGCCAATGATATTCTGTGGGCCAAACGCATTACAGGTGCAGATATTCGAGATATTCTGAGGTAGCCGCACTCCACTTGCACAGGGCAGGGCTGAGTTTATACCTAGATATGCATCTATACATATAGAGTTCTACATTTATTTGTGTTCACGCGTGTACGTATCGGCCGCAGTCTGCATGCTCGCTCGCTTGCAATCTTTTTACAAAAAAAAAACAAAACAAAAACTTTTGAATGTGCTCCCAAACTTCACATTTAACACTTGGTCGTGGAAAGTGGAGTGACACAAAGAACCCAAGCGGTTCTCAACCTTTGTGGAAACTTCTCACGGCACGACACCAACCAAAAATATGAAAGTGGGCCCCGTATCGGAAGCCGTCGAAGCGTTTCTCGTGACCGGGGCCCACTGGGATGCAACATTTGTTCAGTGGAATTCAGTGGGGTTTCACTTTGACATTAACATTTGCATGTCTCTCACTTGCAACATTTTTTCCATTACTAGTGCCACTTTTGACCTGCGATTAAATCCTACTCGTAACTTTTTTCCCCCCCTGCACTAGTAACGCTACGAGAAATGTCGTAATTGTGGAAAACGCTTTGACCGGAGACAGAGTTAAATACAACTGAACTGGTGTTACATCCATTATGATCAGTTGAATAGGTTTGGACGGCACGGTGGTTGGGAATCACCGACTTCGGAGATGATGGATGAAATACGGTGACGATGATGATGATGATGATGACGACGACACGAGTAATTGAAAATTCTCCCTTCATGTTTCTCCCACAAGACACTGAGCATTGTGGGTAAATATGAAGCGCTTTGGTCGAGGGTTTTTGGGCTTCCCTTTTTTTTTCTGTGTGCCAGCTGTTGGAGTTTTGTGAGGTTTTATTCGATGGAAAGGAAATACGATGGTGATCCCGGCAACGTTCAATTTTCCGCCCGTGTTGCACTACGGTTCTTTCAAAGACGGCACTTTATTGTGAAAGAATGAACGCTGTTTCCTCGTGTAATGTTGTGATTCCTTTGAATTTGAATGCCAGCGTGGAAATGGAACAGCACGTTAGTCTACTGATTGATTTCTTGGCTTTGGTGATTATTATTATGATTTTTTAAAATTTGTTTTCTACTTCTACCGGAACAACAGAAACAGGTCAGTTTTACTCGTAGCACTTTGTCATTGATCTGACACTTGCATCTCAGTTATGGGAAATGAATTCAGTGGAACAAGTTGTAGCAGAAAGTTCAATGCAGTTCTGAAATAAGCTCAAGCAAGTAATTGGCATTTACTGTTCTTTATCTGAATCGACTGATCTGATGGAACATTTTGATTCCATTTCTGAGTGTCGGAGACCAGCGCTCAACTTTACGCAAACAAATGTCCAGTTCCTATTTGAAAGCGACATGTGTTTGCAGATTTTTACCAAGGTACATTCCGTGTATCAGCACTACGTTCATATTTTTGTCCTCACGGTACAAAACCAACATAATCACACGGTTCTACTTTGGATTTGACGAATACGTGTGTTGCAATTTTCTTGACATGGTCTACGGTATTGTAGGCTATTCTAGACATATTCTCTCTCTCTCTCTCTACACACACACACACACACACACACACACACACACACATTTTGTGTCATTTTGTGGACAGCTGGCATGATGATGTAAAATGAATATACAGTACAAATATTGTATTTGCACACAATCTCTTTGGTGCACTTTTTTGTGTGATTCTTTAAAAAAAAAAAATCTTGTTAGAGAACCTCTAAAAAGAAAACCACCTTGTATAACGTCCACATTCACTGCTGAATGTTTACTCCTTGGCAAAAAAAAAAAAAGAAAAAAGAAAAGTGAATATTTGCTCTATGTTTTGGAGATGGAGTGGAAATTTGTTCCGCTTTTGCCACCAAAAGCAAAGTGAACTATTGCCTTTCTTTCACGTGAGCTGTGAGTGTGCACATTTATTGCATTGTGTCATGAGTGCGAGGGACTGGAAGGACTTGAAAATGTGTAAATAATTGTGAAATAATATATGTTGCTGTTTAAACGATGCAGGTTTTGGCACATGAACACGGTATTTAAGTCCATGTCAAGTGAAAAGACATCTGTCTTTTGATTTTTGACACACCATGGAGTGTGTTGAACAACCCTACCAAATTGCAGCCATGAAAATATCGATTGAAAATGAGGCTTCCAAATAGTGGAAAAAAAAAAATGAAACGCGCAAAAATCATACATGTCGCAACACGCTAAAGTGTCCACGCCTGCGCAATTTCCAATTCAACATGCTAACCGTCACGCCCGACTCCCCGTTCCCCTCACTCTTTTGCCCCTCTTTCCGTGACATGCATGCACTCATGCCCTACAACGAGGCGCTCTAAAGCAAAACCCCTAAATTCACTTTACAGGGTCTTTAATGTTCACACAAATGAGTCATCTGTTTCTTTGCTTGACACTGGCTTTTAATGAATGAACTATTATTGATTTCTGAAAATGAAAGTCGATTTTTGAAAGCTCCCAAAGCAGCAGGGTTGACGGTGACAGCGTTGTGTCGAGTTTTGGTGACTTTTTGAATGTGAAGGTACTGAAACGGGTCAATCGCAGTACACATGCTGGGAGTATTTTTTGGGGGGGGTGGGGCGGCGGTGCTGCGGTTGAGATATAAATGCACACATCCGGCATTTGTCAACCT